GCCAAAGCGAACAGTCTGCACTATAAAGTGGGCCACCAAAAAAAAAAAGAAATATACAAAACAGGCAACTAAAATATGAAAAAGAGGTAGCCAAGTTGGTCCATTCGCACAAGAGTACGAAGGCGGAGAGGGTTGTCGTCTGGGTGAAAAATGTGCCTCTTGGCGTGAGTTTGCCCAGAGCTGTGAGGAGAGACAGATGTCGATCAACCTGCAAAATAATGAGAGACTACATAAAAGTAATATTCCTATCCTTCGCTCTATTCAGTTATTGAAATTTGTTCAAACTTGAATATTAAAACTTTTACAAATGAAAATATGAATATTTCATTTCTTACAACATTTTTATTAGCATATGGGCATAAAATTTTGTTTCGAATGCTAGTCAGTACTAGCCTCTATTAGTCATTTATTCAATTCTTTAACATCTCTACTTATTAATAATGCTTGTATAATCAAAAAATTCATTTCAAAATCATTTTGTAATAAAAAAATAATTCTCAAATTTATTTTGTAGTATTTCTGTTGTTATATCCAAAATTATTTTTTCTCCATCCGCCAAATTAATTTAAAATGACAATGTGAGACATCGGCCCACGCTTAGTCCCCAGATGTTGAAGTTGAGCCGTCGTCGTCGTTGCGACCAACCAAGTCGGAGGATACGCTGACGCTGCCGCCAATGGCCAGAAAATCGAAATCGGCCAAATGCAAATGCATTTGCCCGTGTGTGCCACGATAATATTAGGGCTAGGCCTGTTGTTCCTAAGCCTAGGGCTCACCGTCTTCACGGTCAAGCGGCCCCTCACCTCCGCCGATTCCGTCTCCCTCGACAATCTCGACTTCTCTGTCGACTTTTCCAAGCTCCAGCTCCGCCTCAATGTCACCCTCGACCTTCGCATCTTCTTCACCAACTCCAATCGCGTCAGCTTCACGTACGCCAACACCACCACCCTCCTCCGCTACAGGTGAGACGTAGCCACAAGGAGGCCTCGCCTACTTCGGGCGGCCACAGGACACCAGCCTGGCAGCAGAGGGGACGATGGGGTCAATGAAGAACGGTCGAAATCAGATCAGAAGAAGTAGCAGCAACACCGGCAGCCGCAAGTGGGGGCTCCAGCAGTTCCGGTGGCTCCGTTCGACCAACAACCGCCAGTCAACGATCTCTCACCGCCGGTCAATAGCTATAGTATGTAGCCGACCTCCAACGCAAATTAATTTATTAATTATATAATTAATTTAAATATAATAATTAATATTTTTTATTATATAACTAATGTGTATTTTAATTGATTAATATGAGATCCACACCAAATTAATAGTTATAATTGAAACTCACGTACTTGTTTTAAAGAGTAGACTCATTTGATCTAATCCTATACATATATATATAGACTTATTGGAAATGCTCCCCTACCCACGGTGAACACATATTAATATGCCCACCGTTTATGTGGCATGCGCACATTGGTGATGTTAATATATTAAAAAAATACATCACCAATGTATGCATGCCACAGAAACAGTGAACATATTAACATGTGCCCACCGTGGTTAGGGAAACATTTCCCCTAGACTTATTCGCCACAACTTTGTTTTGAGGGCAAAACCAACATATTATCGTCCAGTTTATAACATGATGACGTGAGACTATCATTTCTCCACCAAACAGCAAAATCAGACCCGGTCGCAAGGATGACTGGATGAGAGGTGCGGGTATGGAGAATTTTTATTAAATAAGGATCGTTGTAGCTCCACATCGTAATAAGCTAACATNAAGAGGCTGGAAAAAAAGGTGCAGAAAAGAGAAAGAAAAGAGCTTGAAGAAGTAAACGTTAAAACGGTTTTAATATTCCAGAAAAAGAACTGGTCGACTATATCAATTCACGTTAACTAATTTCAACAAATCTGCTGTCGGCACGCACAGCTGAGCAAAGGTGGACAATTTCTGGATTTGGTCAAAAATCCCTCCCTTTGTAAGGCATTTCCTGAAAGTGGGGAAAAATGAAAAGAAAAGAAACAAAGGAAAAAAGAAAAGTTAGCCTCACAGTTGACACATGGACAAAGCATATCAAGGAACATGCTTAGAAACATTACAAGGGTCAAATCACGAGACACAGAGAAAGGAAAAAGAGATTGTAATAAGACCGAACCTCAAGAGAATTGTTTGCAATTAATAACCATATGGAAGAGTTAATTAAATGTCAAAACTGCAAAATGCATTTCAACACTTTTACTACCATATTTAGCCATTTCCCACATTCTCACATTTAATTATCTACCCAGCCACTGGTTTACTACAAGAATACGACCAAGCACGAACTTCCAAATCTAGACCTACATTTTCGCACTCTCAATATCTCTGCTTATAGCTCACACATTTGAATTGTTTTTATTGAACTCCTCAAATGGTGTGCTTAAAATCTAACCAAACAAAATTACTCACAAATAAGCAGAAAGAAGAGAGAGTATCTTACAGTGGGATATGCTGGCATGTACAAAACTGGCCGAGGCTGCCCCATTATCATCTGCTGCCCATACTGCATAAACACCCAATTAAAAGCTTCCATAGAAATATATATAAAATTAGTGAAATATTCTGGCAAAAATTTCAGTGCTAAACACTAGAAACCTGAGGTCCGTTTGGATGATAATACGGCTGTGGCATTTGTGCCTGTGGATTGAATACCACAGGCTGTTGAGCGAAAGAAGGTCCCATCTGAATAGAAAAAGGAAAAAACAAAAAAATTGTCAACACATAAATTTATATTACACAAACACCCAAGATGTCAAATCCAATTACACATCAAAAGGGAAAAAGAAACAGTTAGATTTCAAAATTACAACTATCCCATTGATATTTACTTCTATTTCACGATGAAATCCTTCGTACAGCACATTTGTTAAGGAGATACAAATATAAAAAAGCTGTTGTCATATATTAAGGTGGGGCTTATATTTTGAATGGCATGTCTGCTTTTCTTCTTTTTCTTTCTGGTTTCAAGTGTAATTAAGCAAATCTAAAGGGCAACTCATATATTTGCCCCCATGAATAAAGACAACTTTCAATAAAGAGCAAGAGAAATATAGCTTCAACAAAATGATCTTGAAGAATACAGGGGATGGGAGGATCTAAACATTTTGACCCCTCATTGGGCAGTAACAATAAAGTGCTTTGATCGAGCACGATGGCGACATGTGATCCACATAGCCGACCCCACTTAGTAGGATTTTAATCGCTTGTTGATTGATTGATTGGGAAGTAACAAAACAGTTACAATTAACTAGCTTCTAATTTTTCTCCTCCTTTCACTCCTTTCCAGTTGACGATACAACAATAGTTAGAAATTGCAATATTTTTTCATAAGTAAAAATAGAACCCAGATAACACATATATCAAATACCATTATACCAATACCACATTTTACGACAGAAAAAAGAGTTCAATATGCAAGGAGTCAAACCATATTACTCGCATGTTACATGATATAATGGATATCTTTTGCGAATGAAAACTGATAAAAAAGAAAAGAATTCATACTCACCCCAATACCAACAGGCATTCCATGCATCTGTGTCATAGATGGCACATTAGCTGGATAATAGAAAGAACCATCAGCAACAGGAGAAGAAGGCCTCACAGGTGCATGAGATGGGACAAAACTTTTCGCATTCGGGTTTAATTTAAATTCCTGTCATACAATCCAGTGGTTGAATACAAAATTTAGCATAACAGGCAATAGACTGGCTGCAGAACAAATTTGTTCAGCGTGTCCCTGTTGAATTCTAATTATAAAAAATTTAGATATAACTATAAAAACTATGTTAATGATTTAGGATAGTAACAAAAGGGAAAAAGCAATAATTTTCAGAAACCACAAGGGGAAATTCCATTAGAAGGCTCAACTTTTTGATATTGTATCAATTTAAGGCTTGAATTTTATTCTTTTTCAATAGAAGACCTATATTTTAGGATATTCTCAATTTAAGGCTCACTTTTTAACTAACTTTCCATTGTAAGGCCCAATTAACTTTATATTTTGATATAAATATGTGAACCAATTAACTTTATTTTATAATATAGTTATGTGAACAAAAATAATTTTTTATTTAGTTTATATTTTACATACTTATAATAAATATCTTTAGTAATATTTACTTAATAATATAGCGAAACTATATAAATTATATTTATGCAAAAGTTTAATCATGAATAATTTAAAAAAATTATAAGTGAATTAAAAAAATATGTAATGGAAATATTATTTTTATTAATAATATAAATATGTAATAAAACTAAAAAATAATATATAAATGCAATCTACAAAAATATATCATTTTCAACAAGCAATGACATAGTATCAACTTTTGCTTCCAAAAAGAAAAGTTAAAATTAATCTTTATTAATATAATTTTACTAAAGATATTTATTTATAAGTATGCAAAATATAAATTACAAAATAACAATAATAATAATAATAATTTTATTCACATAATAGTTGTTCTACATATTTATAAGAAAAGGTAAAGTTAGTTGGGCCTTATAATGGAAAGCTAACTAAAATGTAAGCCTTAAAGTGAGAATAACCTAAAATATAAGCCTTCTATTGAAAAAGTACAAAATTCAGGCCTTAGATTAATACAATTACTAAAAGTTAGGCCTTCCAATAAAATTTCACCGAAACCACAAATAACCCCCACCACATTAGTTCCTTTTTCTTTTTTTTTTTCTTTTTTTTCAAATTACATCCCCAAGACAGGGGACTTGTTAGGTAAAATGCAATCTTCAAGGGGGACAATCTAAGAGGATATCTGTGCTTGAAAGATATCAGTAAGTTCTCATAATTAGGCTGAAGTTCAAGGTAGCATCATATTATCCAAAAATATAGGAGTCATTACAAAAGCCACTAAAAGAAGGGATGTATCTGTTTCCTTGCCTACCTTAGCGTGTGGATTCAGGGAAGACTTCTCTGAGGACAATGAACCAACAGACGAGCTAGAGGACAATCCTCGGCCAGCAGAAGTTGAAGTGGGACCCCCACGGTCAGATGTAGAAGAGGCCGAACTACCAGGCCGAGTAAGAGAACCAGCTGCCACTGACGTTTTTGGCGGCAATGTACTCTCTGAAGGCTCATTAAAAGAGCTTGCCTTTTCCTGACCTTTGGATGCATTTGCGGGATCGAATGCAGTGGCATTTGGAGACAGGGAAACTTTATCAGAGCTTTCCTTCTTTAATCTTAGCAATGAATCTGAATCTGCTAGCAATATAGTTACTATTGATGTCAGATTGAGTAACCATGAAAATAATGACACAAAACTAGGAAAATAGATTCTACATAATGGCAAAAGCATGAAAGAGCAGACATAAGAGCATCTCTAATGCATTCTTTTGAAAGAGTAAAAAATTATCCACCTCATCTAGATAGAAAGTGTGTGAATAATTTATCCTCTAATGTATTAGATTATGGGTCCTTTCATGCTTATGTGTAAAAAATTAATGTTAACATTATCAAGCTCACTTTCTAATTTCACACATTCTTTCTAACATGATGACTCACCATTTTGATAATTATTTGACACAAATTTTGAGCTTATCATAAACTTGAAAAAATCCCACCCTTAGATTTATCCAAGAAAAAATTTGAGAATTTATTTGAATACAATAAAATTTTTTGATGAGTTACAACTATTTTTTTATTTTTTAAATATCAATAATATTGTCCTGAAAAGTAAAATATTATATTCATGATATTTGTTTGTTGAGTTCTTGCGATTTTAATATTTTGTGGTTTTATTTTGAACCGATTAAAAAAATATTTATTGTATGATTATACATACTGTAACTGAGTAATTATTGAATAAATAATAATTTTATAAATTTGATGATATAAATAAAAATTAACTGAATCAACAAAAAATAACATCATGCATATAATTATTGGAATTTGTGGTTTTTTTTAATATACTCTTTTACTCTATTAATAAATGAATACATCCACATATACAAATTGTATGGTTGTTGAATGGATGCATTGGAGTTAACAATTCAAGTGAAAGTCCTATTCTTTTAACAGTCAGTTCATGTAGATTAAACATTAATCCATTGATTGACATGTGTTCAAATTTAATTAATGTTGAAAGTTGAGCATTGGAGATGCTCTAATGCGCCAATCATAGTAAAATAAAGACTGAGTAGGTCTGTAATATGACCTGGGATAAATCGTATCTGGTAATACACATTTCAAGCAAGTGCAAACTCCAAAGAAGAAGGGGAGGACTCAGAGATGAGAGAGAAACTAGAATAATTCATTTTTATACATCATAACTTCCTAATTGTCAAATGGCCTTATGTATTTATAGCAAAAACCTACCAATATAGTGCACTAAGAAAATCAAGGCTTAAAATCCTATATATCAAAGGGGAATGAAAAGGTTTTCTTTTCTTTTGTACTTTTTTCTTTTTTTGTTCTATATGTTCTGAAAAAGAAGCTTTGAAAACAGGAAATAAGTTTGCCAATTTCAAGAAATAAGAAAACATTATAGCTAATAATATCGTCAAAATGATAAAAAACAATTCAGAGTGTATCATTTAACCACCTCACTTCCAGAATTCTAGAAAACCTGCTCAGACAAAAACAAAATGAAAAAAAAAATAACAGAAAAATAAAGCACCATGCCCAACTTTAAAATGCAAAGAAACTGGGTGGAAATGTCATCTCGGACAAAATCATTCGAATTAACACAAGGATTATCAGGCAAAATATAACCATCACAAATCGACAAATAAAAAAAAAAACAAAAGAAAGAAAGAAAATTGACCAACCCTCAGATTTTGATGCTCCATTCTGATCATGTACCTGAAAAATTAAACAAATAAATCAATAAAATGATGATGAAGAAGAATTGTTACAGTAAAAATAGGAGCCAACTTTCAAGGAGTAAGCATATACTGACCAACTTTTCCTTATCCCCACTGCAACTACTTTCTGCATGTCCAACAGATTGGTTATCATGATCCCTGAATGAAAATACGCCCACTTAGCAACTTGGTGGGATTCTTGAATCAATAGATAATAGCTAGAAATAGAAAATATCATCATCTCGAAACTAAGATGGAATATTAACGTTTCGAAAGTTCTCCTGACAGAACCAGACATGAGACTTCAGAAGATAGAATATAAACCTGCTTGCATCATTCAGAGATTGATTAGAAAGCGGATCGGTTAACAGCTTCTGACCATGATACTCAGAATCTGAACGATAGGAGTCCCTGTTCTTCTCAGCTAAAGAAGTTGGCATTTCTCCCTACAGCAAGAAACACGGATGTTAGGGGAAACCCATAGGTCCATTATCCATAGAAGGCCAGGGGGTAAAGAATCAATTAGTGCATGCTATCATCAAGGAATAAATATGAATTACATCTGATTGTTAAATTTGATATACATATGCTAACGGAGAAGAATATTATAGAACTGGATAAAGACCCAGCAAACATAACGATAGGTCACACCATAAAAGCATCTCCAATGTGCCCGTTCAGTTCACTAATCCCTTTACATGTAAATCTAAGTATGTCATAACTCATTAGATTGCCATTTGTTTACTTTCCAATCAGAGAAATGAAAATTACAATGAAAGATGAAGCAAAAATCAGACAGAACAAGCACGCGATAAAGATGGGAGAAAATATGGACAAAAACACTTCAAAGAATTTCACCATCATGCTTTATATATTCATTTTATCCATAGTGGGACAAAATTTGGCGTCTGGTTAAACTACTTCAATCACCCTCCTCTTTGAACATACTAACCCATTTTTAAAATAGCAGAAAACAGCAGTTAGAAAGTAACCACAAACAAACACCTAAAGTAGGCCAATGACTATATGGTCATCAACTTTGGCATGAAAATCTATTTTAATGGAATAAAAATACCATCAATGAAGATCTTGATGATGCTTGAGTTCCATCTTTGGTTTTCCCCACAATCGTGTCAATTGGAGGTTTGCCAACAACGGCACTGGAGGCATCTCCAAATGTTTCATCATTCCGAGAATCCAGCAAAATGTTCTCAATCTCATCATAACCACTATCATCGACTTTCCGTCGGACCGAGGAGAACCGAGTTTCTTCATCGATTTCAAGATTTTCATCAAGTTGAATACCTCTCTCCTATCAAATAATAATATCGGGGTAAAGGGAACAGGAAAAGAAAAACTAAACGGAAACAGAACACAGCCCAAAAACCCTGAAAAAAGAAAGAAAGGTAGCCAAGTCCCAGTCTCACCTCAGCTAAATGAAGATCAAGAGTTTCCTCACCCTCAATCTCTCTGGCTAACCTTGTAGCTTCCCTTTCCAATTCTCTCATCTGAGGGCCTCTCTCAAGCTTTGTTGTGTAAAGTTCCTCATTGAAGGTGCTCTTAACTCCAAATAATGTGGCATTTGCTTCAAACTGATCCCAGCCTCTGCTAATTACATACACGTATCACATCAGGAACACAATTACATAAAAGGGAATAACAAGAATCAACTTAGGGGACTCTTTCATGGAAAACTTGATTCTTCAACGAAGTGGGCATCACTAAACTACTTATGCATGCAGAAGCAAATTCTATATGAAGAAACAAATAAAAGAAAAGTTTAACATATATTATCTCAAATGGTCATTTATACTAAGAGTCATTTCTGAATCTATAAATTCACGAAGCAAGGTGATTTCCAAACCTATTCCAATGCCCATCAAATATGTTATCCAATTCCGGACAACCGGGATCACTTTCGTCAGGGACCCAAGGCTCCAATTCTCTCCCCACTTCTACATGCCTAGATTGTGATATGCAGGAATCTGTCATAAGCTCTTGCTGCCTTTCATTCTGGAGCTCATTTGTTAATCCAGCCCTTGATAAAGACACTTCCTATTCCGAAATTAGAAAGAAAAAGTTATGCACAGTTACGAGTAAAGAGCAGCCAAACAAATCACAATTTCCAAATTCCTGCTTAACAAAATAAGATAAAAGATGCCACAAAAACCCATCTCATGGGACAGCATTTATATATCGTTAGTTTAGCAGTCCGATCCAGCATCAATAAGAAATTTTAATAATTAGCTGTATGACAGAAATGAACAAGACCTTTGCTATCACTTGTACAAGATCCTTAGCTGGTACAATAAAAGTCCTAGCAGGATGCTTGCTGGGACAATCTGAAAGACTCTTCTGTCCTTGAGAACCATCTTTAATTACATGAGCCATTTTCAAAACAATTCCTGCACAAAGTAGCCAATTCTCATGAACAATAAAAATGCAACAAACAAATTGATAATAATAACTATAAGAGCAATGATGGTGTTAACAATGAAATTTCCAATTCCACATGCAAGGGTTAATAAACTTGTGCAAGCACCATCGATCATTCAACATACCAAAATCCTCTGCATTTGTCGCATGAAATACTCCAGAAATAACAGACCCATCCTGCACCTGAACTTCAACTTGCTGTCCAATGAGGCATGTAGTAACATATATTAAACGATCACCTGAAGGTGATTCAAGCCCCCCTCCTTTACCTAAAATTGTTTTAAGTTAGAATATAGAAATAACAGATTGATAAAATAGTATACTGTAGCAACATGTAAGCCCTTACCAAAGCTGGTCCAGCTAGAATTTGTTTTTCCAGACTGAAATTTACTATCAAACCTAGATGCTGCATCTCTTTCAACTTTACGACGGCCAAATCCATTAGAAGATCTGGGTTGCACAACTTGCTGCATGTTCATCTCCTAAAAGAGAGCTCAAGTACAGACAGTATACCTGTTAACAACCAAAACTCAATTACAAAGGGCAATGATGTGAAACTGAAGGCAATATGACATTCATGACTTCCTACGAGGAAAGCTTCCCATAACAAAACAAAAGATTACAAGCCACTGCACTCAGATGCCATTACCCCTTGTGCTTATTTTGTGGCAAGTGGGCTAAAAAATGGTTGTGGGCATCTACAGACTAGACCCAGCAACCACATTTGGAAAACCAAACAGAAATTCCATAATATTATTAGTTCACGTAGGGTTCCAGGTAACAAACAGCCCAAGTTAGGCACTCAACGAACCATAAAGCATTAAGCATTGATGAAACAAATGTTCTTTAAAACTTGAAAATAGGAATTGGGAATTACTACATATCTACAAAACCATAAAAATTGAAAGGTTTATATATATTGCCATAAATGTCTAACAACCACTCGAACCATGCCAAAATTAACTGCGATAAATGTTCAGCAAAAAAAAGAATTCAAAATATGCCACAAAGTCAGAACTATCAAGAAATTAGATTGATAAACAGTGACACTTGACACCATTGCAACAAAATTTAGAATAGAAAATAAGTTTTCATTGACCTTATGCATGACTATCTCAGGATGTGCACCGTACATTCATTGCATGCAAAGAAATCTTCATTGTTTGTCAAATTCTTGCGGCAAGTCGAAAATAGGAATATATAAAGGTAGACTAACTCAAAAGAGTTCTAAAAGATGAATCAATTATCACAACATTTTCCACAAACAGAGAGGGTAAGAACGTTGACGAGGAAAAAGGAAAGGAAAGGAAAGGAAAGAACAAAAAGAAAAGAATGAAAATGCGTTGGCTATAAAATTCTCTTCGATCAACCTGCCAATACTTTTATATGTTATTCATCCTGATGCCACCACAGACTAATTTTTTATGTTAATGATAGCATTCAGTATTTCTTGCAAATCTATCTCCTTTCTCATAAGTCTGTTAATATGAGCATCCACATTTCATTGGAAGATAAGAAGTGTTTTCAAACTTATACACATAAGACATATACAAGCTAAGAGCAATATCCGTAGATTCCTCGTATACTTAGTATATCCACAGTTCATATGCTTAAATATAATAACTTTTAAATGCATACTACCTCAACAAAACAAGATAGACACCTTAGCTACTAATCAGTGATAATGTAAATTCCTTAGGCCCTACCAGAATCACAAAATAGTGCACCATCCTCAAGCATCCAGCATTTCATTGGAAGATAAAAAAGTATTTTCTAACTTCTATATGCATCTGCAAGGCAGAGTAATGTCCATACATTCCTCAGACTTCGTAATTAGTAATATCCATATGTCCTTCATATGCTCAGATATAATGACTTTTGAAGGCATATTACCAGAACAAAACAGGTTCAACAACAACTTAGATACTAATCAATGATTTTGTCGATTGCTATTAAGGCTCTACCAGGATCACAATATAGTGCTGCATCATCAATAAAACCGATAGTGAACAATTCAATCCCCTTTGGTAGCAGAATTTCAATTATTAGAAGCTCCCCAGATTGGGAACCCTGGGCACAAGTCAAACAAATTAATCATTCAATCTAACTTTAAGATAGCTTGAACCACTCTACAAAACCAAAAAAATAACACTGCTGACAAAAATGCATCTGGGCTCAAATGTGGAACTAAATTGATGTCAAATACGCAATCATTTGCTCAAATGAAGTGAGAACATCGGCCAAGGCCATTTCAACTTGACCACAATCTCCACAAACAACAACAATAAGGAACGGACAAATCAAATGAATATTCTTTTCTGAAAACAGAAGGTTTCAAATGAACCCTGACAGCATAAATACGCAAAAATAAATAAATAAAATTGACAGAATAGAAACGCTACTCGAGTATTGCAATGGTCCAAACACAGACGCAGGCGCAATTTCGTTATCTTCATTTTCAGTTACGGCACTCCTCGGAGGATAAGCGCCTCTAGAAGATTCAATCATAAAACAATCAAGGAAAACAGAGAAAGAAAACCCTAAAGAAATTCCCCTCGAAGACCCTGTGATCCAACCAATAATCAACATACAAAGACCTAAAAATTGCATGCAGGTATAAGGAGAAAAGCTCACGGGAAAGCTATGGAGAGCGAGAAAGGAGGCGATCTACGGGAAACGGTCAGATCGGGAGAACAAACGGTGTCGTCTGCGCTTTCTGGTTTGAGGTGTTAGTACCGCCCCGCAAAAGCCGGATCCGAGTGAAAGTACGATCGGCAAATATTATTGTGCGTGTCCGTCGAGAATTTTATTTGGTGGGCCAATTGCCCGACAACCCGAACCGTTACAAATCCAAAAATCATAATAGGAATTGCAAAAGGTAAGTGGGGAGTCCCCCTATATATTAACCCCTCTATCTTCTCATATTAATTCAAAACGTGATGCAGGCTCGCATTCTTCGGTATTTTTATGTGACAAAAATACATACTTATTTCTTAGGATTAGGTAGATTTTAATTTATTTTTAATTTAAAAATAATTAAGTTCAAATTATCTATAAATTGTTGAGTATTTATAGTCATGTTACATGTATTAATTGTATTTTAATATAATTTCTTATTATAATTATTGAATTGTAAATATATTTAAAAAAATTAATAAATTTTGTGTTTTTTATCAGTTATAAATATATAATATATCAAATTAATCTTCTCTTGTATGTATAAAAAAGATTATATTTATCTTTATAATAATAATAAAATTATTTTTTAATATTAATTAGAAAAATAAAATTATTTATCAATTAATATATTTAAATTTAAAGTAGTTATATGATATAAGTTATAAAAATTGCTATAATATAACACATGTAAGTCGCACAAGTAACATGTGTTATTCTAAAATATATAATAATATATATTTTTTGTAAAAAAGTAAATAAAATTTAAAATAATTTTTCTCACTAATTTTAAAATTTTAGAATAATTTTTTAACCTATTATATTTGTGCAAAAAAAAAAAAAACATAAAAAAAGATACTATTTATGTTGCCCCTCCCTCCAAAACCAAGAGATAGCCCCAGATATAGCGCGGATAAGAAAAGCCGGTGGCAAATTGCAAATATCGAAAATCCGAAGCTGTTCAAATTCCCAATCAATGGCGGGTTCAGCTTCAACTCTCCACCTCTTCAGGTCATCAACTACGCACTGCAACCGTGCGTTTAAGATTATCAAACAATCTTCCGCTTTTGAAAAGCGCTTTTCGTTCACCTGTTTCTCTTCCAAGAAGAAACAGCTCAGTTTCATGGACCAAATCCTGGATTACATCGAAGGTCGCCACTCTTTGTCCATCCAGACTTATGATTATTCATATGTTTTCCGTTTTTTAAGAATAAGAATCCGAACTTACCAGCATTCGGATCAATCTGTGTTTTTTTGGGATGTATTTTGTTCATGCTTTTGTGGGGCCATGAGTGGTGAAGATTTCCTTTTCACCTGGGGATTTTCCGCATTTTATTTAGGATGTGTTTTGAAAGTTTTCTAGTTACCCAGAGAAGTCCGTCTATTAGGAAGCTAGACACACTCTTGTGAGAAGGGTTCATCTAACATATATCAAATGCCACATCTTCTTCATTGTTGTGTAACTTGTGTTTAAGAATGAATTGCTACGTGCTGTTTTTGTCTGATGTACTGTATATGTGTATATTGGAATGCATTTAGTAGTGTCTTTTCTTTAATCTTTCATTTATTTTGTTAAGGGGGTCCAAAGTTAAGGAAATGGTACGGGGCACCTGATCTTTCGCCGAAAGATGGAAATGAATCGAGAGAAGATGAGGCGGAAGGTCTTATGAACAAAAAATACGTACTTTCTTTTGGTTGATCCCTTATCAAATTACTACATTATTTCTATCTTTTGTTTATTTGGAAACAGGAGAAGAGGAAGTTAGAGATGCAGTGTTAGTAACCGATGGAGATAATGAGATTGGTCAGGTGATGCTATATATACGTGATATGGTCTTGTCTCAATTGCATTTGTCCTGTGTGTACAGCTATTGTTTTATGTAACTTGGGAGGAAGTTAAGAATAAAATTGTCTTTCTGGTCCCTTAACTTCTACAGATGATCATACTCTCTCTTATTATCAAAAGAGTTCGAGTAAAGGCACTCGTGAAGGATAAGCGGGTAGCGAGTGAAGCATTTGGCACATATGTTGAGGTTGACTAATGCATTATCTTAGAAAATGTCATTTGTTTTGGCTGCTCACTTACCTTTCCTAACTCTAATATGCTGAACTTGTTTTGAAGTCTATGGCTGGTGACACAAAGGACAAGATATTTTTGAAGAAGGCTTTAAGAGGTGTCAGTGCAATTATATGCCCAATCGTATGTGTTGACATCTCTACTTAGTTTTTCATGTAGTTGCGATTAATATATCAAGGGAAGTAGATTTACCACGCATTGCATTATCATTCAGATAATTACAATAAAATGAGGTTTTAGCCTAATTACAAGAAGTTTTTACGTTCTCCTTTAGTAGTACAATACAACACCTGCTTTTTCGTTTATTTCGCAAATCATCCTTCGTCGCTATCTGCTTAAAATGGCCCGATTACCTGTGGGTTCTGGTATTTTGGAAGGTTAAAAGTGGTAATGCCTCTAAACCATCCCTCAAGGGTAGTAAGTTATTACCCCTTTACTTGTACCGTGCCTATTATTTCTCCCTTAGTTTTGTGCTAGATAGTTTCTTATTCTGCCAACTTCGACAGAGTTGCTTACAAAGCTAAACTGAAGATAGCTATTCACTTTTCTATTGCTACGGGCTTCTTTTCATATTTCTATTTGTATAATTCTACAATGTGTGAAAGTCCCGATCAAAACATTACCTGAACATTATTTCTAGGAAGGATTTTTGTGTAATATAGAGAGCTGGAAAGGAATAGAGCACGTGATTCTGTTATCGCAGGTATCTCCCATTATTTTCTGTATATTTGGGACTGCAAACTAATCATCAAATGATTGATATTGTGAATGTGTGAAGTTTTCAGCTGTCTGTGTATAGGGAATCTAGTGGCATTCAAGCCGTCATGAATAGTAACGCAAGGAAACTAGCAGAGCAAGACGAGAATTTGGTAAAGGCATCGGCAGTCCCCCATACCATCATCAGAACAGGGGTTCTGAAAAATACTCCCGGTGGCCAGCAAGGTTTCAACTTTGAAGAGGTATTTCAAGCTAAATTGGAATTTAACTCCCAAAAAAAAAAGGGAAATCTCCTATATTCTGTATAGTTACAGAAAAAACCGTTAACCGCCCTTTAGAATTGTAAAGATGACATTTTTCTATTTTATTTATTTATAAAAGGATGAAAAGTGATAGACGGGATTTATTTAAAACTAGTATTGGATCACGTGCATTTGCACATATATAAATAAAGTACGTAAGTTATTTGTATGCATATAATATTAAATTATAAGTTATATAATTGTATTAAATTAAACATAGAGTATTATAAGTTATATTTATGCATATAATATTAAAGTTTTTAAATATATTGCAGGACCATTTTGCAGGAGGGTTTTATTTCATGGGATTTGATTTTTCAAAATAATTGATGTATCATTCTAATATCCGAAAAATATTTTTCTATTATTGTATGACTGCAATAAAAAATAGAGATATTTGTAGTCATTCTTAATTAGTTGTGAAATATGTATTTATATAATACCAAAATATATATAGTATCAAAATGAAAATAAAAATATTTTGTATTTCAGGACATAATAAGGTGTTACTGAAATGGGCACCATCCAAGATGGGACATGTCAAAATAAATCGTGTAACTGAAAGTTACATATTTTTATTAAATGGTGAACATATTTTTATCAAATGAACACATTTTATTAAATGAACTACTATTATTTTTAATTGTCCGCTGAATAAAATTTATTGAAGCTTGCCAACATTTATATATATATATTTTTGCAAATTAACATTGGCAGAGTTGAATAAGTTCCATTAATTTTCTTCTTAGTTGACAGTAACATGTTTATATTGAATAACAAACTTGATTGATGTTCCATTCTAGTTTCAGCGATTTGAGGGTTTGTTTCTAAATGGGACCCGCTCATGTCATGGGGCATAATCTGAATTGAACCATCTGAGTCTCAGAGCATGGATAATATCAGCACAAGTTGTATCAATCTCATATTCGTGAGATGTTTCCATGTATAACTGATTTTAGGTGGGGTAGAAAATAACTGGTTAGAATGTAGTGTGTTTTGAGTGCTGTAGTGATTGACAGTGTGAGATCAACATTGAAGAGCATAAGAGCATAGAGAAAAATAAATGCCATGCATTCATAAGAGAGTAATATATAGAACTGGCGCTTTTTTTCTTTCTTTAGGTAAATCACATTGAAAATTTTGTGGTGCATGTAGTAAATAATTCAACAAAGCTAATATTGGGTGGGGGTAATCATGCAATTGGGGTATATTTAGTGTATTTAATGCAACCCTCAACTCAACTTTAAATTATCATTTTTTTTAAGTTAATAGGGGAATCACCATGACAGGGAAGTGCAGCAAAGGGAAGTATTAGTAAGGAAGATGCTGCATTTATTTGCGTCGAGGCCCTTGATAATGTCCCTCAGAAAGGGCTGATATTTGAGGTTTGAAGAATAGAATTTATTTCTGTGTTTCATATTCTATTTACGGTCATATTACATAGCTGTGATTCTCAAATAGAAATTTCATTACTCGTCCCCAACAGGTTGTAAATGGTGAGGAGAAAGTTTCTGATTGGAAAAAGTGGTTCGCTACATTGATGGATAGGTCAACTGAGTAGCTTGTAGCACAAAGGACAACAATGTAGGTGCCCTTTTGTATGTTAAATTTACATTATGGGGTAATTTTGCTAAAACAGTTAAAGGACAGTACAGAAAAAGGTTTATACTTGAATAGAGAAAAATGATCATCTCAGGTAGGGTTGTAAACGAATCGAATCAAAGCGAATACTCAGAGATTCGATTCGGATTCGTTAAAATATTCGAAGATTCGAATTCGTATTCGATTCGTTAACGAACTCATTTTTTGATTCGTATTCGATTCGTTTAGAATATTCGAACATATTCGATTCGATTCGAATTCGTTTTAAAAAAAAAATTATAATTAAAAAATATTATAATTACAAAAAATAATTTTTATTTTTCATATATTTTTAGGAAAATTTGTTAATTTATAATGTTTTAATTTTTATGTCATAAAAATAGTAGAAATATAGCAATATAAATATATATATACATATATATTATAAACAAAATGTTACTATATATAATTTATAAAATTTATATAATTATTGTTAACGAATCGAATATTCGAATTTCGAATCGAATATCTACAAATTCGAATTCGGATTCGTTTAACTTTCCAATATAAAACATTATTCGTATTCGAATTCGAATCACGAATATCAAATTCGAATATCGAATCGAATCAAAAAAGTTTGATTTGCTTACAAGCCTAATCTCAGGTATATGCTGCATTTTGGCCGGTTTTTTCATCTTTAATCCTGCTCTGTTGAGCAGAGGTGAAATTTTCATTTTCATTTTTATTTTTTATTCTTCATTTTGTCCATTTTTCAGCTGAAAATGGGTTCATCTTGCCTCTACTGCGCATTGTACAACCACCTGCAGCTGCTATGGCCCCTGAAGAGTGAAGAATGGAAAACTAGATAATTTACATATCATTTATTAATATTTAAGTTGAGGGCTTGTAAATGGTCCTTGATTGCAAATAAAGAATAAATTGTGTAAAAATGTATTGATTGATGAATCTGATTCCCTGTTCCTTATTTTGTCTTGTGCATTCTTGTGATTTTGATCCAACAACTAACAAGTCACATAAGTTAAATTCAACCATAAAGGTCTCTTTAAAAATACAACTACCTTTCATGAAAACCATTGGGATTAGCTTTTGTCTGAGATTCTTTTCTCAATAATTCTGCTTATAAAATATCAAATGCTAGAGGCTATCATAGTATCATGTCAATTAAGACAAAACAGTAGTCAAAAAAATAACTATCCATTACATCACAATCTAGTCTTGGTGGGTCGTAGTAGCACAACCTGTTTTCAACCATTCTTATCTTCCAAGTACCAGCTGTTCATCTCAGTTCCACAAGATTTTTTTCTTTTATTTTTTAGCTTCCATCAAAATCAAAATCAATAACTTTAAGACGTGAAAATCCGAAATAATAAAATTTCATTTTCTTTTTCAACTTGAGATGGCGAGATACTCCTACTTTGATTGTGATAATCATCTTGGAAAAGTAAGGACAAGATCAGAGGACAAAAGTCATAACTGATGATCATGTAAGAATTATCTAATTTGACAAACATGGGTAAATATTAAAATAATCAAAGATATTGCTGTTGGAAGTTCACATCAAAAAGCACCGAAGTGCAATGATGTAATATAAAAAAAAGCTAAAATCAGATCAAGTCACTGTGCCTTTTGCCATAAAACTGAAGTTGAGATAATGAGATCACAATATGTAGGGTCCAATATAGAAAGAAAGGAATCACATTTGAGACTTTATAAAGTTGCAAATAATTCTTACATTTCCATCTTTTCTTCTTTCTTAGCTCAGTCCTCATTTCTATATATTATGTTTCTATCTCATAAAATCTTTCTCAAATGCACTAATATATCCAACAATTAGGCGTGCAACCCGACTTACATTTTAATAAAAAACACATACTTATATTGAAAAAACAGAAACTTTGATGCAATTAGATGAACCCTCAAGAATAGTTTTGTAGTTGTAGCACATAGGATTTCAGGACAGTGAAAGTACATTAATCCAATCAAGAAAGTCACATAAATCCTCAAAACAGAGGTGCACCCATTATTCCCCTTTACTATGCAAGAAAAAAATAGGCATACAATACACATACAAAGGATGTTATACTCCCCAACAATAAAATAAAATCAAGTCACAATAATCCAAATTAAACCGGCCATCGAGCCAAAAAAAACGAGACACGATCAATGGCTTGATCGGACCCGTTTCTGAATACCTCGTCCATTGGCCGATTCCCCTTCAGACGAGACATCAATCGATTTAGCGGAGTCCGAGAGATTAGCATAAAGATCAACAACCCTCCTAATGTTGTTGTTAAGCTCCCTAATTAAGCCCACATTACGGGTCAAATTATCCGGGATTTTCGACTCGTGGTTCTGGTTAATCTCGTTGATCAACAGCCTGTTCTGATCCAGAATGTTCTGGACCTGCACGAAATTCTTCTGGAATGTCTGAAGGAATTTGGCCTCGATGTGTGCTCCGTTAGATATGCTCGAGAATATGTCGTCTTCCATGGATTTTTTTTCTTCACTCGGTCAAAGTAATTAAAACCACTGCAATATATATATAGATAGATAGATACAACATAAGCTGGAAGTAAGTAACTAACTAACTAACTGTTAATACTAGAAAAGTTGTCAAATTATTTCAAGCATGTTTCAAAATCACATATGCTCCTTTAGAGTGCAAATTGTGAAAAGGGAACCAAATGTGGATAGTAAAACTGAAATTGTAAAGGACAATGCAAAGCTTGTTATATGGAGCCCAAAAACTAATATAGAGATTGGAGCCACTTGGAAGGGTTTATGAGACATGACAAACTATCCAGATACTAATTAGAAGAAGCTCTTCACATTACAGAAAGGTAGATAAACTCGAAATAAGTTGAATGAAACAGAGACTCGACAAAAAGGAATAAAGAATGAAAGTAATGAGAAATACTGTTGTATATGACAGCAAAAAAGCTGACTTCCTTTTCAGCTAACAGGTGAAAGGGTGGTGTGTGCTGTTCTGGAGACACCAAATCAACTCTATAATCTGAGTTACATGTTCATAATTGAATCCGAAAACCCACAAAGTAAAAGAATTTGCCAAGAATTGATTATTATTAATAATTCAGGAGCCCAGATGAAGGGATCAGAAAGTAAACCCCACATGAAAAGATCACATTTTTACGACAACCCAATTAAGAAAAGGAGCTAATTTCATGTGTAAGAGTGTGAATTTGAACCAAACCCACAGACAGAACGAATTTGCAAACAGACCCTATCAAATTGATAAAGAAGCAAAAGCAGAACAGAGAAAATGAATACGAAGAATTATTAACGAGCCAAAATTAAAGAAATCTGCCTATTGAATAATAATATTGGCAGCAGCAAAAACTCAAGATTTTTCGATTTCTAGAAAACGAGAGAGAAAAAAATAGGTTCACAAGAGAGTATAATATCCGAAAAAAATAGGTTCACAAGAGAGTATAATATCCCCCAACATTTTCCAAAGCATGGTACCTTGATAATTAGGACCATTATTTCTTCTCTCTTCAGTCGCCTTCTTCACGTTGTGTGTGTGAGAGAGAGAGTAGTGAAGTAAGTGGGAGAATTTTGTTGTGTGTGTGGCTCAATCTTGTATTTTGGCTTTCTCTCTCTAGAATTAGAAGGTGTTGGGGACTTGGGGAGAGAGAGAAGGGGGAAGGGCCAGATGGATTAGATACTTTTTCTCCCTGGTTTACTTCCCCCTCCTTTCATCCATTGCTCGCCTTTTTCTAGGATGAAATGAAAAAATGATGAGGAAAAGTTGTATTTTATTATTTTTCCAATATCCCATGTAATGCTGTAATGGATGCACCCGGCCCCGTCAAGTCTAGACCACGTGTCTGGAGCCCGACTCATATTTTAACTGGGCCAGTCCAGGGCCTTGTTTTTTCGACTCTGAGCCGGGTTGGGTTGGGTTCGGTCCGACCCGGGAAAATCAAATGTTTTTTTTTTTTAATTTTTTTTTTTATTAGACGAGCCCAGACCCGACACGACCTAGGTCCGTGTCGGTTCCGTGTCCATGATTCCGAACTTGTCGGCCTGTTGAGCCGTTCCGGCCCGTGTTTTGACCATGTCTATAATACAATGTTTTCAAACTGCAATAACTGTTCCTATATTCAATTTTTTTTTATCTCTTTCTTCATATTTATGACAATAATATATAAATAAAAAACTTTACAATATATGAAAATATGAGTAAATATTAAGCCATATTAGTTACAAAAATATAAATAATATCAATATAAATAAAAAACTAAAAAAGATGTTTTACGATCAGAGTACCCGACGAATCATTTTAAATTTTAGAGATCTTAATTGATAGATTTTATCTTTAAGTCCGGAATCAATAGTTGACTCAACTCCTCTTTCAGTATCAAACTGATATAAACTAAAATTTTAATTTGATAGTTTCAGATCTTTTGAGTCATTGATAAAATTTATTTTTCAGTCCACGTATACAAATGGATACAACTCGATTAATAATTAAGAAACAAAGTAAACAAATATTAAATGATATAAAATGATTTGTTTTGTTTATATTACAAATTGTTGCATTGCCCATGTACTAGTTTTCAAAAGTAGTATAAATTAAAATTGTTCTGTTTCCCATACCACGGAGCGAACGACAGGAAACCAATCATAAGTCATAACATTGCACGAGAACAACCGGCCCATATATGAAGTCCATGAGGTCGCAGTCTGAGGCCTGAAAACTTTAGACCTAAATAGTTTCTTATAATGAAAGACAAAAAGGCCCAAAAAACAGATATCTATACAAGATTGGTGTTCCATACTTTCATTGTGAGCTGTAGAGGTAAGCTCATATTTCCCAATCGTCTTCTCAGACGACTTCTGAAATATTTATTTTGTTGTAATGGCCTATGACTGAGAGGCTAAAGGAATAGAGTTTCTCGAGGATTTTTTTTTAATATCTTAGGATTGTTAATTGATTTGCTGAAATTGTGAAATTTGTGATATAAATTGTTTTAGTTTTATGTAGTTTGTATGATTGAGAAGATTTTGATTGCAATTTTAGAGAAATTATGTATCATACCTCCAAGATTTTGATTTTGATGGTAACATATAAAATTCTCAATTTTTCATTATCTGTGGCAACTAATCTTCTGAATGTTACGTCAGGCATATTAATCTAACTTTGAAGCATCCAACAATGGCTTTGGAAGCACAGAAAGGTCTGCTCCAGTCCAATAAATAGTCTGTTCAAGTTTTATTTATTTATTTATTTATTTATTTATTTATTTTGTTGTTGTTGCCTGGTTTATAATGTCACTACTTTTTTTATTACTATCAATTTCGTGTATTGATGTCTGCAGTGGTAGTTCATCTGAGAGCCACCGGTGACGCTCCAATTCTCAAGCAATCCAAATTCAAGGTTTGTTTGTTTGCTTTTCTGAAAATTCAGATAGAATTGCATTTTTTGAAGACTCGTGTTGTGTTGGATCACTGTTTAGAATAAATTGAATTATGTTTGATATAGTTTTTGTCCTGTCGGTTTGTACAAGTGAAAGTTAGCTGACTTAGAGTGGTTTTGATGTCGTAGCTTTTACTTTCCTTTATATCTCAGTTGAAATTTGAGATGATTCTTTCTAGAATGGACTAAAATGGCTCTAGTCATAGCTACTATCTCTCTCAATTGGAAGATATGATTATTGATTGATCCAGAAAGCCTGGCAATCTGCAAAACAATTTAGCATTGTTATAATTGTTACTTTTTATCTATAATCTTCTACAAGCTTGAAAGAATTTGAGCACAGCCCACCTGAGAAAGTGAAGCAATTTCCAATCCTGAACAATTTCATGTGATTTTTCGCTTGATTGGAGATCTTGCTATCTGTATGTGTGTAATGTCAGTTTGTGGAAGGGCTTTTCAACGTCCGTTTTTAATTTTGTTCAGTCATTGACTATACATTTGTAGTTATGCTCCCTGCATATTATTTTATATTAAGTATGTGTACCGAATAGTTAAAGTCAATTTTAGAAATCGAGTATCTTTTTCTAGTTTTGCCTTATCTGTTTTCTCTTTTCTTCTGAAATATGCAGATTGCCGGAACAGACAAGTTTGCAAAGGTAATCGATTTTCTTCGTCGTCAACTTCACAGGGACACGNTTTCGTTCTAGTTGGCCTTGGTCAACAATGCAAGCTTTACTTTCCTTCTCTTATTATATAGTGTTGCTAAATATCCTTTATTTCAGTTTGTGTATGTAAACAGCGCTTTCTCACCAAATCCTGATGAGCTGGTCCTAGAACTTTATAATGTAAGTCATCATTGTCATGATATCTTGTATATTGGTAAATGAATTTATTTTACTTTTTCTGGAAAAAACAATGCTGTTTCTTTTTGTAAAACGTCAATTGTGACGAGTCTTGAAATATGACTTGATCGCTATTCTCCAATAGGGATTGAGTTGTCCGTTATTCTGTATTTTCTTCCTTTTCAGTGAACTGTTACATTATACATTTCAGAATTTCGGCATTGATGGCAAATTGGTGGTCAATTATGCATGCTCCATGGCGTGGGGGTAATTACTTCCGAGGAATGAGTTCTGTACATTCATTAGAAGTTGACATATGGTATATTTCACACTACCTTCATTTCTTTTCGGTCTCTTTTTCTTTGTTTTTCAACTTAAAATCAGTATCTATTTCGTTAAAATCAATTTGATTTTTCCTTCTGCCATTTTGCATGCTTTAGTTTCGAACTCAATGATTGATGGTAAATGGCCACTATTTCGTCATTTTTCCTACCTATCTGCTGAAAATATTACGACTGCTTCTTTGGGTTACATTAAATATCGGGATTGACCTTTATGTAAGTTGCGCATAAGATATTTTGTAAGACACAAGCAAAGAGATGCTAGGAGTGTGTTTCTAATATCAGTTTCAGAAGATGTGGGAGTCCTTTTGAATTATGTAAAAAATTAAAAGCCTCGGGCAGTTTCTCAAATCAACCCTTCAAATATTCGATGCATTACCTAGTAGGATATAACATAATTTGCTGCTAATATAAAGTTGTTTTCATAAGCAGGTTATAAGTATTACTGACAAGGAGTGGCACCATGAGTTCAGAGGGCTACAGATGGTTTATATTCATTCCATAAAAGCAGATTAATTTTCTGGCACAACCACAATTCGACTGTACAAAAAAATTCTACACGATTGCTTTCTTCGTATTCATGGGATAAGAAGTGTGATCTTTCTGTTGTGATCATTCCATATAAATCTATTTATTATCTTTTTTCTATAATGTGGATATTATCACTTTTCGAATTTTGTCTTCTGTCCATATTATTATCTTATGTATTTCGAACAAAAATATTACAAATAAAATTACTGATGTTGTATATGAATTAATTTTCAGAATTTAAAATAATATTATAAATTCACTTAGCTCTTTATTATAATTGTTATATATTTATTTTTTTCATTCAATGAAATAATAAATACTTTTTATTTATTTATTTATCGTATATTTAATTATATTATCAAACATCCATGTAATACATACTTTCATAGTAGTTATTATTATTTATCAAATGGTAGTTTAAAGTGTAGTACAAGAGATTCCACTCATTGTCTAACAGATAAAATTTGTAAATTAAAAATGCCAACCCTATTCTATAATATTCTCTAATTAATTGCAACTACTTTATGCTTGTCTTCGGAAAAAATCTAACATAATACATACACGTTGCAACTTATAATTATAAACAGTGTACTTTACAAACTTTAGGTCCGTCTCCACTTTGGATTAAATATATAGTTAGCAAATGATGAAACTGGTTTTTACACCATTATACAACATATGAGTGTCGTTTAAAAACTATATCTGTTATTTATATTTTAAAACTTTTTAGGTATAAATATATTATTTAATAATCTTTTATAGATGCATTATTATTTGAATATAAGAACAAATTGATCCAAAATTATTCTATTATAGATTGAACATAAATTCTCAACTAGCCTAACAACGAATCTAATAAAAAAATGGGTGAACGCCCCACCATTACTTGCCCATCCTAATTGTCAGAAATCTAATCAGCAAAATTTCATTTTTACAGACTAAAATTAGATTAACCGTTTTCATCCCGCCTTCTCTCTCTTTCCATTCTCCCGTTTGCTGTCCCCATTTCCCTCCCTCTCTCTCCATTGCTGAGAGCTGGGAGATCAATTTACGAACAACATCAAATTCAAAGGAAAAATAAGATCAGGGAAAAAAGGGAATCGATAAAGTAATTCTCATCTCGCGATCCATGACAGTCTGAATGTTGTTCGTCCGCATTTCTTCCCGTAGGTTTTAAAACCCAGGTGTAATGCCCTTGCCCTAACCTAAATTTCTCCAATTGGCCGCGAAATTGAAGATCAATCCAAGCTTGGGGACCAATTATCGGACCCTTTCTCGTCGAGATATTGTTGTTCGAGGCTCGTTTCTAATTCCGTTCCGGATTCCCCAATTTATAATCTGCTCCCAATTCGTTGTTTTTCCTCTATATTATTTTTCTCTGTGTGTATAGATACACATACGGCTTATTTTGTGGGGGAATTTTGATTTGAACCCAGATGCAGAGAGAGCGTCGACGAGGTGTCCTTGTATGAAGAAACAATTCACTCCGCCGGCGAGATTTGTATGGATTCGCCGTTATTGACCTTAACTATTGCCCTTTTCTTCGTTTCTTTCTGTCTCGTAGCTGAATCTCAGGAAAATGTGAGACCACCTGCATTTTCGCCACCGCCGCCCTCTCCACCACCGCCGCCGCCTTACACTACTCCTCCACCACCTCCACCACCGCCTTTCACTCCACCTCCTCCGTATGTCCCACCTCCGCCTTTCACTCCGCCTCCTCCACCACCGCCTTTCACTCCACCTCCTCCGTATGTCCCACCTCCGCCTTTCACTCCGCCTCCTCCACCACCGCCTTTCACTCCACCTCCTCCGTATGTCCCACCTCCGCCTTCCCCACCACCTCCGCCACCTCCACCATCTCCGCCGCCGCCACTGCCGCCGCCACCTTCTATGAGAGGCCTCTTACCGCCACCTCAGCCAAATTCGAGGAGCCCTCCCTCGAGGGGAGAGCTCAACACAGGAAAGAAAATCGGGCTGATGTTCATAGGGGTTGCCGTGATCTTGCAAGTGTGTGTCGCGGCATTCTTGTTGATCACAAGAAGGCAACTGCTGAAGGCGGANTTTATTTTTGGTTCTTTCTTTTATGAAATTGACATAGTCATTGGTGAAACATTGTAAATGGCGAACATGTATAATTCTGCTGAAGCTGATAAATTGGTTGGTTATGGAATTATGATACAGCAGTCACTTGGTTTCGGTTGTGATTACTGTGTGTTGACAGAGAATGCCCCTTTGAATTTAGTGGTTTAGAGCTAAGAAGCCAATTCAATCGCTATTAAAATTGGATTTCGATAAAAGGAGCTGCATCAAGATACTTTGTGAATCTTATTGTAGTCTGTGTTCCTAGGTTTACAATCCAGGATAACTGTGACAGAATATTTGTTCATAGCTCTATTACTAAGTGCAAGATAACTGGTTTTGTGCCTGTAAATTGACTTTGCTTGTACGTGTTATGCTCCATGTGCATTTAAAAGCAACAACATAATATAACATTCTTTAGTGACTATAGGTATCTTTGCATTTCTATCAAATTCTAAATCACATCCAGTTCCTCTATTTTTTAGGCTTTTTCTTTTGTTACCTTTTTTTGGATATCACTCTAGTATAATACTTTATCAATCTTCATTGTGTTACATAAATTTCCTTAACATCAATTCTAGCTGTTCGTTTTTAATTTAGGCATGCTAACTCATGGAAATTGTGTTTTTGGTTTGTAGGTGTTTAAAGAGGAACAACTTGTAGATGAAACACTTTCTCTTTATCAAACTTTTAGGGACTGATTTGGATTTACTTGTGACCGCTGACAAATCTATAGCTCAATCTTTCAAGGAGAAATGGAACTGCTACACTAGTTTATCGATGTTAGTGTCATAACTTAAAATCACCACACCATATTTATTTATGTATATTCTCAAGATTAACAATGTGCTTATTACTGAAGTAGTTTGTGCAATCTGATTTGCATGAACTTCTTTCAGATAACATTTGTTGTTTCTGTGATGATGAAGAACGGGATGAATATATTGATATTTGAATGCTAAACATTTTTGTCGGTATTGCATTCTTTTGTTGGGTTTCTTTATGAAACTGTTGCAGCCATTGATATAGTGGATTTTGTTGTTGTTGTTGTTGTGTTTTTTCTTTTTTTTTTTCTTTCTTGTATACATATTCGACTTGTGCTCCCGATTTATACATTGAACTGCTGGGTGCAATGGAGATATTCATAATCTTACAATATTTTGCATGATCTGTGTCCTTGGATAGTCTTGTAACTTCCTTCAGCTTGAGTGTACTTCAGTTTTATTATTTACGAGTCTTCTTTCATCATCCAACATAATCATTTGGGGGGTTTTTGAGGACACAGTCATGAGGTTCTGTACTGTGATATCATGTGTATTAGCAGAGAAATGTGTTTGACGGGTGCATAACTTTCAGATCCGCCTGTTAACTGACATTAAGATATGGCTTATAAATAATATTATTTGATTGTGAAGGCAGCTACTGTTTAAATTGCCTCTTGTTTTGACTTTGGCCTTGTTTTTTTATCTGAATCAGTTCAATTTAGGTTCTCCTTGTTTTGCCTACATAGGAATAGGATTGACCTTTGAGGATTGTTTGCCAACTCAGACAAAAAAAAAACTACTTATTCCACCTAGACATAGCCAAAAACCGTTTCCGGGCTGCATTTTGATGGGCCCTAAACCGGCCCAGGAACATATACGGGGCGGTTCAATGAACTGTCGGTTTCGGGCCGGCCCAGTTTATTAAAAAGAACAAAAATAATAAAAAATTCAAAAAAATAAAAATAATAAATTCAGTCAAACCGCCAGATTCAAAATTTGTAATGGCCTGAGTAAAACCATAGGCCGGTGGTCAACGAGCCGATTCTGAATCGGTTCGGGCCGTGATCACGTCTGATTCCACCCAAAAGCTTTAGTATATTTTTTCTTTTAGTTTGCAAAGACTCCTTGAACCATTATGTGGAGCACTGTCTGGCAATATGAACGTGCTTAATTAAATTTTCATAATTGGCTCGGTGTTGGACTCATGATTTGGTGAGCGTGAAATTAGATTTTCATTCTTCTCTTTTCTTGTAAGGATAATATATATTAAGAAATATATGCATTTTTAAATTAGCTTGGGAGAGGACTTGGTGGGGAGTAAATCATGAATAAAATCTCTAACAAATTGAAAGGCTAGAATTTGAAGTTACACATCTTAAAACACTTCTATATACTTGATTGACAAGCTCCAGGTATATATATAGACGTGTCTTTTAGCAGACAATTTTTGTTATAGTAAGACTTCGAAACTCTGCAACTAAGAGATTTTTTCAACCAATGAAGAGATTTTTCTCTGCAAAAATTCTCTGTTTCAAAATTCTCTCTCTCTGAAAGATCCTCTGCAACTACAACTCTTCTCAGACCACCTAGCCCGGAGGCGCTTTCCCCCTCCCCTCTGCCTAAATCTAGGATGTCCTTAATAAATATTAAATGAAGGAAATAAATAAATAAAACAAAGAAAATAAAAAATTAAACCAATGATGGTAAACGATCATGCTTGTTCAAAAAGGCCAACGCAATCTCGTCTTTATAAGTTTGTTTCAGTCACTTGACAATTAAGATGATCCTTGTAACCAGTTAGCTGAGCCAAGTCAAGTCTTCCAAGTTCTCTGAAGATCGCAAAGTGTGTAGATGGCCATTTGTGATTTAAAAAACCATTTGGACTACTGATGTCATGATTCAATATGTTCGAACAGTCTCAGTTTCTATAATTGTTTATCGACCTCAAACAAAGTGAGTTTCAACGCACAGCCCATTTTAGCCTTTTTAGCTTCTATATTTAGAATGGGACCATGAGGAGAATCATTTAAGCATGCATATTGCTGCAAGGATCATGAATCACTGGCATATCATCCCCGGCATAAAACCTCAGCCAAAACACCAATTCTTTCACACCACAAAACCTTTTAAGTGGTTACAATTGATGAGGAGCAAATACTCTCTCACATACACATTTTCAATTCTAGCTGTCACACTGTCTTCTTCTGCTCATCCTTTTTCCCATGGCATGTGCTGTTTTGGACCACTCTTTGTCCTCAATAGCTTTTACATTTTTTAGGACTATAATCATAATAAAAACATGAAAACTCGTTGAGAGTGAGAAATTAATCTTGTTAGTAAATAGAAATTAGCATTTTTTTTTATTTTTTTTTTTAAGTTTGCATATAGTTTTTAGGGAAGTTGTTAAAATGCCTTGTTCGTGTGAAGAAAGAATCAATAGTACAATCTAATTCTTTCTTGCATTATTTTCAGTTTCCTGCATATCTTTCTGAAACCTTAAACCTGTCAGCTAAACAGTACAATCTCATCATATAATCCATGAAAGAATCATAATTACACCAAAAAAGAGCAAAAGAGTTTTTCTGTCCCTTTCTGCTTTCAAATTACCTAGCTCTACATTGCAACTTGCCCCAAAAATCATCAATAAATAAAAAAGAAAAACACAAAATCCCACATTCTATTTAAACCAACCAAAACCCAACCCAACCCCTCATCATAAAAAAAATTCAAACCAACAAAAACACTCCACAATTAACCCCTAAAAAAAATTTTTTTAAAAAAAAATGAAATCAATCTTTCTCCTCCTCTGTTTCACTCTCCTAACCCTCTCCTCCAACGCCCTCGTCCAGGACTTCTGCGTGGCGGACCTAACAATCCCTGCGGGCCCATCGGGCTACCCTTGCAAAAGCCCGTCTAACTTGACCGCGGACGACTTTGTCTTCACGGGCTTCCGCAAGGCAGGCAACACCAGCAACCTAATCAATGCTGCAGTGTCCCCTGCTTTTGACTCCCAATTTCCGGGAGTTAACGGGCTCGGGCTTTCCCTGGCCCGGCTCGACCTTGCGCCAGCTGGCGTCATCCCAATGCACACCCACCCGGCAGGCTCAGAAATACTGGTGGTGGTCGAGGGCACGATTGTCACGGGTTTTGTGTCGAGCGCGAATGCTGTGTACGTGAAGAAGCTTGTGAAGGGTGACGTCATGGTTTTTCCACAAGGGCTGCTTCATTTTCAGGCGAATGGGGGAGGAAGAAAGGCGGTGGCGTTTGTGAGCTTCAGTAGCCAAAACCCGGGATTGCAGATTCTCGACTTTGCGCTTTTTGGGAGTACGCTGTCGTCGGCTTTGGTGGAGAAGACGACTTTTCTTGATGACGCGCAGGTTAAGAAGCTCAAGGCCGTGCTTGGAGGGAGTGGTTGATTTTTATTTTATTTTCTTTTTATTTTTTTTTTGTGGGGTTAATTAAGGGTTCCTGTTTTGTGTTCAATTGTTAGTTTCGTGCAATTCTGTTTCTCATTTGACTTGTATTTGTAATAATATTTGCTTCTTTGGTTTTGAAATTTTCCATTTGCTTATGATTTATTTTTCCTCTTATTATATGATTATGTTCTCTGGGACAGTTACATGATTAATTGCGTATAAGTCAACAGACCTAACAACTTGGGTGTGAATGCTTGAGGGTTCTGAAGCCCTAACATGGTATTTAGGACCTCATAGCTTGGTAAATGACATAGATAGTGTTAAGACCTAACAACTTGCTAGTGTTCTGAAAGCATCTTATCACAACCTAGAAACCGTACAAGCTAGGAGTAGTGGATGAGGGAGTAAAGTTTCTAGGTTGTGAGGGGTTATTGACCTAAGATTCTTTTACGGGAAAAAAAAAAGAAGAAAAGTTGTGGACATAAAAAGAAAAAGAAAAAAGGGAGTGGAAAAGAATAGAAAGGCCGTATTCCTTGAATACGGTTTTTGATCTTTTTTTTTTGTAAAACGTATTCCGTGAATACGGGTTCCTTTGTAAAAAAAATGTAAAAAACGTATTTAAGGAATACGTTTTTTAATTAAATTACACAGAAAACGTATTTACGAAATACGTGCTTTCTATGTTGGTCCACTCTCCCTTTTTTTTTTTGTTTTTTGTCCACTTATTATTTTTTTATTAATAAATATATAAATCTCCCATTGACCTAAGGTATACATGACCTCGAAAATAGATAACGAGACTGATTTTATGGATGGCGTAGAAGGTTCTCCAGAAAGATTCTAGATCTCTTTGGAAATAAGATTGGATAAGTCTCGGGTAGACCTTGGCCAACAAGATACTTGGGCATACTCCTTTTTTGTACGGAACACGAGTTGACGAGGGGTCTGCTGGTGCACGTAGCTCGCGTTGTGATTTTTTGGTTAATTTAAAAAATGTGGTATTGTTAGTTGTTAGTGAGTATATTAAAATAATATTTAAAATAAAATAATTAAAATTTGATTTGATGTAAAATAGGAGAGAAATGATTTGAAGTGACGGTTAATTAAAATAATATGAGTGGATGAATAGTGAATTAAGGTTGGTGTGATGTGTATGAACGATTGATTGATATTATTTAATATTAATAATATTGATGATAGTGAGATTGAGTTAAAGTTGAGTTAAAAAAAATAGTTGAGTTAAAATGTTGGAAACTTTTTTAAAAATTTTCATAAACAAACATGCACTAAGATTTAGAAAATCGTGGACAGACCAGGTAGAGATACAAACCTAGGCAGGAGTTGGCGTGACTCTGAAACTATTTAAGATCTAGAGAATCAGGGCTAGATGGTGCGATCCCACGCAGATGAAGCGCCCATAAGAGAGTGGACCTAGGTGCACCATATTGAGGTTCCATCTCAAAACCAATTAGTGATGGGATGATTAGCCCACTAGTCATATAAACTAGGTATAGTTTTCCTATAGAATCAATATGAGACAAATCACAAGTTGTGGCTGAGTACTTCATAAGCCGAAGCCCAGAGCAGGCCGGGTAGTGAGTAAGTCGAAGCCCAGAGCAGGCCGAATAGAGAGTAAATTCAAGCCCAGAGCAGGCCAGATAGAGAGTAAGTCCAAGTCCAGAGCAGGTCAGATAGAGATAAAGGGTCTACTAATTATATAAGCTAGACCTAATTTTTCTATAAAATCAATGTGAGACAACTCACAACTTGTGAGTCCTTCATAAGTCCAAGCCATTCCCTAAAGAATCAATGTGGGATAACTCACAAGTTGAGACACATGCAGGAGTTAGTCTGGCTTTAATACCATGTAAAAATTAGAGAATCGGGGCACGAGGGTGTGGTCCCCCACGCAGATGAAGCTCACCATAAGAGAGTGGACGTATGTACACCATATGGAGGTTCTATACCAAAACCATGGGAGAAGTAGCCCACTAGTCATATAAGCTAGACTCAATTTTTCTATAGAATCAACGTGGGACAACTCGCAACTCACAACTCACAAGTGATACTACAGCAAAAAACCCTTGTAAAATTTTTATCCACTCACACAATTTTAACTAATTATCACTTCATATCATCCTTCTCCTACTTTTACATCAAATCAAATTTAATTATTTTATTTTAAATGTTATTTTAATATAAACTTAAAATCCCACTAACAATTAACCATGTAATTATTTTTTTTTAAAAATTAACCATACCAAACCAAAAAATCCAAACAAAATCAAACAATCATATATCCAAGCATCTCCATAATCATTCCTAATGTATAAACTTTTTTATGTAGAAAAAAAGTTTTACGTGAACACAATATATTATTAAGAAATCCTTTACCTTTTTGTTTATTTCAGTAATTTAACTAGTATTGTTACTGAAATTTGTATATAAAAATTTCAAGAGTAATGTGCAAAACTTGATTTACAAATCAATAACTTCTTTTGAGAAATTCACTAAATTTCTTAATCTAGGAAGTCAATGCCAAAAATCTATTGTTGGATTTTGAAAAATAAAATGCTAAATATGATAAATTACGACAAAAAAAATGTTAGTATTTAGTAAAAAGAGTTTTGGACTATTCTCAGTGGTTTGGACCACAAATAAATGTCTGACCATGTCGATCTTCTCTTTGACATGTTTGGTAAATAGTATTATAAATTAACATTTTGGTTTCAAAATACTAGTTTTAAAAAGGCTCCAAATTAATAGGAGATTTTTATGAAAAGATGATTTGATAATATTTATAAAAGGTAATTTGCATATTTAATTTTACAAATTTAAATTAATTTATTTAGAGATTGAAAAATAAAAATTATATATGCATCTTAAATCTGTTAATATTGTTAAGCTAATAATATTTTACAATTCTGATCAAATTCGTCATATAGGCTTATATTATAAATCATTAATAAACCTAATAAAAATATTATATAAATTTGTTATTTTTCCTTTTATACCATCAATCTGCTATCCAATATTAGTTATTTATCAAACACTGTATGTATAATATTTAATAGAATCTGCTAATCAAATATTAATATATCACTTATTAAATATTATAATCTTACTATCTGCTATCCACTAAATTAATATATCACTTATTAAATATTAGTTTTATTAAATATTATAATCTTACTATCCGCTATCCACCAAATTAATATATCACTTATTAAATATTAGTTTATGAATACCCGAATTAATAATTTCTAGGAAAGAAAGTACAACACATTTGGATATAAAATCACTAAATAAATAAAAAAGAAATAACCACTTAAGTAAATATAACAGAACAACCTTATCAAAGTGCATATAAATACACTACACCCTCACCACTCCACCAGTCTCATCATTTTCACTCATTCACAGTAAGCTTTTTTTTTTTTCTCTTTGGTTGTTTTGTTCTTATTTTTTCTATTCCATTTTTTTTTTCTCCATCTCATTAACAAGTAACATATATAATACATGATTTTTCTGGTCTACAGGATCTTAACATCATGTGGAACTTAGGTAACCTTTCGACCGATAATAATGACCCTGCTCTGGTTTACCATGCGATGATGAACGAAATCAATGTCTTGCTAGTCGAGCACGAATCTGAAGGAATACTTCACACCGGAAAAATACTCGAGATATGTCAATACAGAGGTATGCAAAATTAATCTTACCTATCTTAATCAGGAGTTTATTCGCATGGCGACAGATAGACGTTATAGATGCGTTGCTATTTGTTCTATCATTAAAAATATTGTCACATTTCCTTATATACAACATTTTCTTTGGTGATTGTGATCATGTATATTAACTAGTTATGATTGATTATCGATCTGTCTTCTTTGTCTGGCCAAATAATTTTACATGCGAATAAGAAATTTGATATAATTATTAGTTAGATCCACGCGCGCGCGTCACTCTAAATTATCAAATAATTTCTTTCTTTATGTTTCGATACCGCGGTTTTTGTTTTTTTTTTTTTTTCNATCTTATTTGTATCTAATATTTCAATATTTCTTGAATACATTTCTTAACAAGGTATTTGAATAATTCTAAGTAGTTGATTTGTAGATACAAGTGCATTCAAGTTATTATGCAATTGTCTTAACTATTGTATTTTCTTAATAAATGCAGAAAGTTGTCATCATTGTTCATTAAAGCTACTTAAATAACTAGCACAAAAACTTCATTATATATTTCACAGATTTAATTATATATCCTTGATTTTGGATTGAAGTGGAAATTGGAACCACGGAATAGTGAAGCATTGTTTGTTACTCTTAATTATATATTAAATTAATGTATATCATGTGGATCTGTATACGTAATTATGATATGTACTGATCTCATTTTATGCACTCACTCTCATTCATAACAAGATTAGATAAACAAAGAGGCTGTTGTGCCCATTTTGCAGCTATTTATCACTAAAGAATTTGAATAATTAAGTTTATGTTGTGCTTTTGTGTACGTAGGTTCATGCATAGTTAGATCTGTTATATACTTATATGCTCTTATGTGTTGTTCCTTTGCGTTATTTAGTTTAACCAAATAATGTTCAGATACATATTGTGCGGCAAAAATTCAAAATTAGTCCTATAATTTGGCTAAAGTCCAATTTTTTACTCCGTCATTGACCACTTTCAAATTGAGTCCAATAATTTGACAATTTTATCAAATTTGGTCCTTTTTTATCCGCACCTTCACTACAAGAAAATGATGGAATTCCAACAGAAATATAGTCCAATAGAATTCCAACGGCAATTCTAATGGATATTTCAATGCTATTATTTCCGTTGGAATAAATTCCAACAAAAATATTCCATTGGAATGAGTTTTCCATTGGAATTTCCGTTGGATTTTGACGATTCCAACGTTAGATTTTCCAATGGTGGTAGAAATAAAAATTCCAATGGAAATTGTATATTACAACGGTAATTCCTACGGTCTAAAGCCGTTGGAAATATAACCGTTGAAATCATCAAATTTCATCTAAAATTCCAATGAAAAATACATTCCAACGGAATATTTTTATTAGAATTTTTGTTGGAATGATTGCAACGTAAGTTATATCATTGGAATATCCGTTAGAATTTCCATTGGAATATATTACCATAGGATTTTTCGTTGGGATATAACATTTTTTTTTTTGTAGTGCTTAAATAAAAAACTGAGAGGATATTTATTCAAGTTGTATTCTTAAAATTTAAATGTTCCATTTTGTGTTCTGAACTATTCTTGTTAGCTTAATTCTCTGAAACAATNTGGTTGAAATTGCTTCTGCTGCTATATCAATGCTCATTAGCGGAAAGGCAAAATTTGATGTTTTGATTGCAAACATTAACTCACCTGATCTCCATGGATTTAAGCTTCTACAACAGGCAGCCAACATGGGCTTGCCCACTATCGGTAAGCTTTACTGCCATTAACTGAACTAGTTTTTGTCCCGTGCATTTGCACGGAAAACTATATGATACATGAAAAAATAATAAAAATTATAAACAATAGTAAAAATCATAACAAATTCATTGAAAAAAATTAAGAATAAAATATAAATATTCTTAAACACTTCTTTATAAAATAACGTCGTGGTTTTTCTATCGTCAAAATCTCCCTCAGCTCAAATCAAAATCTTCAAACCCCACTGACTCGTAACTCTAAAAAGCGCCACGTATAATTGCTCATGACTAAATGCAGAGCTCTTCAGTAGTAAGCCGACGTGCGACAGAGACTGTCTTTGACTCTTATTGATCATGTCATAGCATAGGAAACACTTCTTTATATTGTTTGTCCTCGACTCTTATTGATCATGTCATAGAGATTGTCCTTGCTTCTTAATAAAAAAATACCATCTAAATATAAATGAGTAAATATAATATTAATTTTATAAACAAAAAATTTAAAGTAATTGATAATGAGTATAGAATTACCCTTGCGGATTCAAGTTATTTCAACGATGTTCTTTTTATATATCTAAGATTTAATTTTTTTCTGATTTATATGAATATAAGCACATTTGACTAATTTTTATAAGATTTATTGAAAAAAGTTACTATTTTTTTGAATAACTGATAAGATATTAAGATAATACTGTACTTAACATAAATGTGGAATTAATTAAAATAAATTTTTTTAATTTAGTCATTAACTAATTAAATTTAACTATAAAAAACCTTCTTAAATGTGAGTTTAATGAGTAATTAATTAAAAAAATGTAACTTCTTTTGGAGAGAAAATGAAAATATTTTTATTAAATGTTTTATTAAATGGGGTTGGCTAGCAATTATATATATATAGATTTTGTTTGTTTGAAAATATTTTATGTCTCACATTTTTTTTTCAGGTAAAATTATTTCCACTCGTAATAGGAGGATGAAAAATGTATTACATTTAATTATAATGTTTTACCATAGGAATCATTCATGAACAATATAATATGATTTCATTTCATCACTAGATTAGTTCATTTTTTTTTTTTTTACTAATTCTTAAGAAAGTATCAAAACTATTGAAAATACACAAATAATATTGTTAACCTTTGGACGAGTTCATCACTATATTTTTCGAATAAAAATTGTATTTGTACTTATAAATTTCACACTTATATTAATATTTTTATTAAGAAATAATATATTAATATGAAAGTCTACATATTAAGTAATAAATATGTGTTAGTTTAATTTAAATTTTATTGCTCTTTTTATGTTCATAGTGAAAAAGTTGGTAACAGTTCTTTTTGTTGCTAACTTTCTAACGAACGAAAGTTTTCATCAACAAAATATTTTGATATTATTTCCCATTAATTCCTCTTGTATACACAATTCATCTAAATTTTATTTTGCCTCCCCTAAATTAATTAATTTTTTATTTCATATGTCTTCATTTTGAACAATATAGTGATGGCAAATGATGATAACACACACATGGCAATGAGGGCTCTCGAGTTTGGAGCGTTCCTTTATGTCAAGAAACCTTTGACTATGGAGATTCTGAAATGCCTTTGGCAACATGTCCTAAGAGAAAAAACAAGCATGATAAGAGAAAGGAATATTTTGCAGAATCCTAATAACTCGGAATTAATGATGATGAATAAGAACAAGGGAAAATCGAAGAAGAGTACTATAAATAGGGACAACATTGAAGAATTTGAGTATGAACATCTGAATCGTGCGACGAACAACAATAATGTGAAGGGAAAAATGTGCACTGAGTGGACACAAGAGTTGCACGCGAAATTCATGGCTGTTGTTGATGAACTTGGCGAAGGGAGTATGTTAATTTGTTGTTATTTATGTCTTTTTATTTTGTTACATTAACTTGCATTTGTTATGTTCGATTCGTATTTTGTTGTAGATATGAATTTTAATATTTGACTATGTTCTAATGTTTATATCTATTGCTAAAATATAGAATGTTTTCCTAAAGATATTTTGGAGCTCATGAATGTGCCTGGACTTACCAGAATGCAAGTGGCAAGCCATCTGCAGGTATATATGTTATTCTTTTTACTTTTTATTTTTTTAATAGATTCAATGTTTATGTTGGAAAAGTATTATTATTATTATTATTATTATTATTATTATTATTATTATTATTATTANAAGAAAAGAAAATGATGTGTTTTGCATCTGATTTATTCATTATACCCTACTTTCCAATAGAAATGTCGCAATGACAAATGGCGTTCTCCTTTCGAGCGAAAGTCTCAACAAGCTGCTCAACCTGTGCTCTCCGACCCCAACGGGCCCATGCCGAAGCCCAGAAAATTTGGGTCTAAGCCCTTCATGAAGACTTATTCGGCCCAATCCAATGATTTCTATTCTCCCAAACAGGGATCCGAAGCCCAGTATGGAGATGAAATACCCAACACTAATGGGACTCCTTTGAGCATTCCACCAATGACTAATGCTTCTGATAATTATCATCAGCAGCTGCATTTTGAGCTGATGGGGCCCGATTTTGGCACTTCACAACTTGAGGCAAACTATATAAACCATAGGCACTCGGCTGATAAGTTCTTTAGCTTCCATGATGTGGACTGTCTCGTTCAGAATTTCCCGGGCTTTTCAAACGAATTCGGGCTGAATCACTTCCCGAGTGCCTATAACTTCACCCCAACTTACCATGACCAGGTTTGTATAGCATTTGCTAAAAGAAATTTTAGTTTTCCTAATAAATTGTAATATTTATTTTTCATGTTTTACAATTTGATGCATGGGATAATTTTTCTAAATCAATTTAATTTACAGAACTCAGGTGAGAGCAAGAGCAATTGGAGTCCGAATACATCAAACTTTGAGAGGGACCAATCAGCTGAAACTGGAGTCCCTGAGTAATTCCAGAGTTTTTAATATAGAAAAAACAATTTGAATAAAGTATATATGTGCAGTGATCTACCTGCATAATGTAGGCATGAATTATTCATGTTTGATAAGCTTGTTTGTTTGCTACAAGGAAACAAATTTGTGTTTTACCTTTTATTAGTCAGAACTACATTCAGTTTGAATTTTACTGTAGTTACAATTGCTGAAACTTTAGCATTCTAATGATGAAATACTTTTTAAGGACTATCAGTTTGTGTTAGCTTTATATACATTTGAGCATTAATGTTTTTTAATTTCATAAATGTTTATTACTTTTACGAAGAATGACCTTTGTTGTTTCAATTTCATAAATGTTTATTACTTTTACGAAGAATGACCTTTGTTGTTTCAGTTGAAAATTTGTTCTCGTGCAATGAAAATGCAATATTATAATAAAGCATCACAATATTTAAAATTATTTAATATTATAAAGTTGAAGTTTTTAAAAATTATTAGATGGGGGAAGAAAACTGTATAAAATATATATATAATTAAAATATAATCAAAATTAAAAAAAATAAATTAATTCGAAATCAAATTATTCAATTGTAAATAATATTTACATATATATATATATATATGTGTGTATATGTGTGTGTGTTTGTGGGTAGTTAAAAAGAATTATCATTTTGACAAATCAAATATAAAATTGGGTATTACTTTAAATAATTAAATTTATTATTTTTTATTTATTAATTATATATTTAATTTTTTATCATTCTAAATATTAATTTCTACACTTATTATTTTGATAAAATACTTAATTCTTAAGAACCCATGTTCACGAGCGTTATACTGTTTGACGGAGGTTTTCAGCCTCCGATCACACATACTTACACAACTTTGCAAATTATTATTCTCTTTAATTTTGATAAAAATGAATATATATGAAATAGAACAAATAATACTTTATAAAATATTTTTAAAATTAAAAATAATATTAAAAATATTTTTGTAATAATTATTTATAACTTTTAACTTCACTATAAGAATTTGGCCAATTATTTTTTTTTTAATGAACACCCGTGTAGTTCACAAGATAAATTCGAGTATACAGTGTTTTTCTTGTCTAGATCCATAGTTCCATACGCATTATCCTCGATCCTCAAATTCCCTCAAAATAGTTACAATCTTCTGTAACAGGTTTTACATCTCAGTTATCTTTGTTCTGCTGTGAAATTGGGATCGTTATTACAACTGTTCTGCTCATAAGTCTAAGGTGAGCTTTAATCTTCTATTCGCTAAAATTGTTTTTCCCCCATAATGGAACTCGATTTGATGCGTGACAAATCTTATCATATATTGGCGGGCATGCATATACTACGCGTTAATTGAATTTCCTGGGTAAGTTTATTAGGGTTTCTATTTTCTTGCCTTGAGGTAGGATAATGATTCGTAGGAATATGTTTCTGAAAGCCACTGTCTTGGAGGTGTCTTTTCTGATAAAGTGAAAAGGACCTATTCAACATTTCTAATTGTATTTCTCTGTTTTTGCATCTCTACTGTTTTTTTTCTTTTCTTTTTTTGGTGTAATGAGTTCATTATTTAATCATACTTGCTTGGTGAAAAAATCTTTCAAGAAAGTTTGGATCTTGATTTCATATATTGATATGTGTGTGTGTGTGTGTGTATGTGTGGATGTGTGTGTTTATAACACTACCATATGAACTTAACATGGAGATTCCTTGCAGTGGCAGTTGAGGTGTGAGAGATGGCGGAAGGGGGTGAAGAGGATAATTTGCCAAGGGATGCGAAAATTGTGAAGGAATTGTTAAAATCGATGAGTGTGGATGATTACGAGCCTCGAGTTATAAACCAGTTCTTGGAGCTATGGTATAGATATGTTGTTGATGTTTTAACAGATGCACAAGTCTACTCGGAACATGCCGGGAAATCCACGACTGATTGTGATGATGTAAAGCTTTCTATCCAATCTAAAGTCAACCAAAGTTTCTCACAACCACCACCTCGAGAGGTAATTTAGCCTATATTGACCCTGGTGTGGTAATTCTGGTTTCGGGGGAATGTTGAGTTCAATATAATCATGTTGCGTAATGATATCTTCATGAAGTTAAGCCTGTTGACACAAAGCGAAAAAAAAAAAAGGATAATTAATTGTGAATATTGCGAGTACTCCTATATGATCATACTACAGAATTCGCTATTCTGGTTTACATGATGTTGGTGTTTGCAAATTGAGCATGTAGTGTTTGTAATTTTCAAATGTATTCTTCTGTAATTACTAACTAGGCTAAACTCTAAGGATGGCATATATGATATCCTGGCTCCAATCCACATAACATGCATGTGCTTTGGCTTTTATGTCTAGTTTAGATAGGTGGTATTGTTGGAAATTAGCTAACTGCGAATCGACTAGAATTCTAACGATATAACATGAACTTCAAGCTGATAGAATGGAGCAACACACTTAACATATAATTGCTTCTGATTAATATGATTTACTTAAATTATATGTGTGTCACATGTGGGGGGCGATGTTCTCTATTTATTGAATGCAAGTACTGCTTTGTATTTTATAAGCATTGTGGAAAAGGAAAACAACCACGAAATTGAATGATTTTGTTTAATGCTCTTCTTATTCTCTTCACGACAAAATATAGCAATAATCATACAAAGTACCCCTGAAATTTAATGAAATTACAGAAAACCTTGAGTTGTCTTTCACAATAACAAATACCCCTTCGATGTGTGATGTGTTACAAACATGCCTCTGATTTTCTATGTAACTGAGAGTTCTCCCTTTCTCGAGTCTGAAAATTGTTAGAGAGGACAAGCTTGAAAAAATCTGGTTGGTGTTTAGTGAAAATGCTTAGATATCTTTTGGTTTAAATTATTTTTTTCCACTCTGAATTCTTGAAGGTGCTGCTGGAGTTGGCCAGGAGCAGAAATAAGGTCCCGCTGCCAAAATTGTTGGCAGGGCATGGGATCACTCTGCCTCCAGAACAAGATACATTGATTAGCCCGAATTATCAGCTCGCTATACCCAAGAGGCAAATAAGCCAACCTGCTGAAGAGACTGAAGAAGATGAAGAAGCTGTTGATCCCAATCCTAATCCTAGTCAAGAACAAAGAGATTTGCCTCATGGAACCCCTCAGCGAGTTTCTTTTCCTGTTGCAGCTAAACAACCGAGATAAATGTTGTGTAATATTTCTGTGTTTGCAAGAGTATATGCAGCTTACCTTTTTTTTTTAATTTAAAAGAATATTTGTCATCTTCCTGTACTTGAAATCTTCTGAGAGTTTGATGCGCAAGCCATGGTTATGTTATGGCTTTAATTCTGTGTGTACAGCAAACTGCAAAGCTACAGTTGATATTGGTTAGACCCTTATCATACATCCTCCGGATTTCTTCACAATACTAGGGCAATCACTTGCTGGTGTAGTTGGACGGCTCCACCATATCCCTTGCAAGTTGGATCACTTATGGGCTCATGATTTAGCCGAAGCTTTAGTTTCTCCTTGGCTGGGAACACATGATGTCCATCTTGAATCACATATAACACAAGCCCTTTCCAATATTGCAATTTTGTCTAGGAAGTAGGATCTGGTTGGATCTCTTCCCCAACAAGGACTCTCTTGAACATCAAGATATCTATCCTATATAAGCGTAACAAGTTCTTCTTCATCTATCATCGCATTCTATGCGTTTTACTTACATAATTCATATATAAAGTTTTGTCTCAGTTCTGACTTGAGTGTCGGAGGTTTTTTCACCAGAACCCCCTCCCGGCATATTATCATCGGAGTTGAAGGACGAGAACCGTTCGAGACATAGGCATTGAACCCCGTCCTTGACACAAAGTGACATAACAAGATAGACAGTCTGGCTTGAGAGGATGACCTAACTAGCTGATAGAGACGTTGACTACATTACACCTAATATATGTATGACTGCAAACATCCTAAGTATAGATGGCTCCATAAGTCGAATCATCTGATGGCTCTATAATAAAACTATATAGATATATAGCTTTTTTAGAAGAATAGAATTCTTGTGGGGGAAAGTTAACTGTTTTCTTATAAAAGCATATTTATTTTCATCACTAAGAGATTCCACTTTTACGCATGCATTATCATACATGAAATATACCGCAAAGGGATAATTAGCTTGACAAATGCTCTACACTGAAAACCCTTTCGACGTTTTTTTGGGTAATCGGACGAGAAGGTCATTCGTCGATCAAAAAGAAATTTGTCACTTCAATCGGATTTATTTGATAAATCCCTATCAAAAACAAAATTTACACCATTTATTTTATATCATACTCTCAACCTCAAATAAACTTTATTGATTACTCTGACAAATCGAATTATATATTGGCAAGATTTGAGTAGTTAAATAATAATATTATGATGATAAAACACACACACAATTGTGAAAGATCAGCAAATCGCAGGCCCCAAAACAGGAACAGCTAAAGAATGCTCCATATACATCCTCTGCTGAAATGACTCAATTGTCCCTCTCTCTTCCACCAAATCCTTCAAAAGAGAGGCATAATAGCTTCTCAGTTTCCTAAGCATGAAGGCATACTTTACCCTCAGCCAATTCAGCTTCACTTTCCTACAAGCCCTGGCGAACGAGAACCGGAGGCCGGGCTTCTTGCCACCAAGGCGGACGCTGGGCAGCCGCCGCCGCCTGCGGCCGACGGCCCTCCGGAAAGCGGGCCCCACGGGGCTGGTGTTGTTCTTCTCAGGGGCAGTTTGGGAAGACATTGTTTTCAGTAATGTAATATGAAAAAGAGGAGAGAAATCAAAATATGGGATAGTGAGGGTTAACTGGTGAGGAGGTATATAAATACATGGTTTGGGGGAAATGTGTGAATTAATTTGTGACACATAAAGGTGATTGAGCCGATCGATAAGGATTATTAGGATAAAAAGATTAAATGTAATTTCTCTATTGCTTTTTCTTTGAACGGAAAATAACATATTTTTTGAATTTTTTGAATGTATGTTATATAAATTATGTGAATAGAATTTGTTATAGAGATAATGAGATCTTTCAGATAGCTCGGGATTATATGTTGTGGCTCTCAAGATTCATGGTATATAATGTACATAACACTTAAGTCAATGTGCATTGTGGTTAAATTTGTTACACTCAATTACATTTATTAGATATATTTGTATAATGACATGTCATAATATAATAATACCAATAATAATAATATAATTAAAATGTTATAATATAATTATAAAAATGCATAAATTTATTGAAGGATTAATGATATCATTTCTTTACATATAATACATCATCAATGTGTGCATGCCACATCAGCTGTTGACATATTAACATGTGCCCACCGTGAGCATGTGAGCATTTCCCTAGTGTTTCGTTCTGAAATTTTCTTTTGCTCGTTTTAGATATTTTTCGACATTTAAACATAAATGAGTAATTTATTTTAGAAGCATATTTTTCTTATTTATAAGTTGACAAATGGACACATCACTGCGTATTAATTAATTCGGTATTAGTGTTTTGGCATTTCATGTATATTACGAATGCTTGTAATCCTATTTTAATCATCCCCTCCCATAACTTTTTTTAAAATAAAATTTTACTAGTATACTACGCATGTGTATTATATGGGTGTTATCATTTACATTTAAAATGACGCGTCACTTATACGAATTACCATTTTACATTATAATAATTTCTTTAATTTATATTTTATAACTACTTTTGTGGTTAAATAAATTTAAATATATTTTTCCTATTAATATTAATTAATTGGTAATTTAATTTTTATTATAAAGATAAATATAATTATTTATTTATCTTTTATGATATAGATGTCAAATCGAAACACATCAAGAAATGATTAGTTTGATATATTATATATAAAAATATAATAATAAATAAAAAAAAATACTTTTTAAATATATTTATAATTTAAGTTAGTAATTTTTTACTAACTTAAATTGTGTAATCCATATGGTTCTCACGATTTTTTTTACTTTTCCTCCAGACGCATAACATGTGTCCAATGACTCACCAAGAAGTCATGATGATTTTTACTTTTTACCTAGTATAAATTTTAGCAACCTCTATGAGATTAAATCATCAAAAAGTAAATGAGAAAATACCCAAAGTTGTAAAAACATAACAAAAACGCGCAATTTATAAAATCAAGTATTAATTTTCTCGCAACTTTCATTTCATTTGTCTTAATTACATAGTACATCTACTTCCCTCCTTGTTGTTGATATCTCACGTCAACAATATCAAATCAAATTACACACTCTCTTTTTTATAATTTACTTCAATTTTACTATATATTTTTTTCCTTTTCCTACATTTGAAGTTCAGAATTGTCCTTTTATCCTCGAGCCTCAGTCACAATCTTAGTTAATCCCACAATACAAGGAGGTCTCAACAATAATGAGTTGACCATTAAAGACGCAGAATCTCTCATTAATATACGTCGTACTGCAGTCAGACATCGGTTGCAGATATCCCATCTGTACACACGACACGTAGGCAGACCGTCTTACGGAATGAACAACTTCTGTGTGCCCAATCGTCATACACCGCTTGGTCCCAAGAACTTGGGGGCTCCCTGTTATGTACCTTTTTCTAATTTGAATTAACCCGTAAATAGTGCTGGTGTGGACATCAATAAGTATCTCTAATCTAACTAGCTTGGGGATTAGACATGGACACTAGCCGGGCCGGCCTGTGGTCCCGGTCCCGGCCCGGCCCGCAACCGGCAACCAACGGGCCGGTTTCGAGAACCGTAACCATGGCTTTACGGGTTATTTTTGAGTCCGGTTGTTCTATTTTTAGTCTCGGTGAGCCGGGGTTGGGTCGGGGTCGGGCCGAGACAGGGCCCGTTTACGGGCCCGGTCCTTGGTTTTTGGCGGGCCGGTTAAGGGTCAGCCATGGGAGGCCCGCCGGCCCGTTGATTGACCATCTCTATTGGGGATACATTGGCAGTACACAACCTCTACTAAATCGGCACTTCGTGTCCGTCAGTGACACAACGACACCATGTGCTTTCCAGAGCCACATCGGTAGTTCGCATTTGTAATCAAGAACTTGATGTCATGGTCGATTGCCCAAAGCTTTATCCATGCCAATGTCGCCCATTCAATGTGAAAAGGATTACCCCCTTAAACTTGATACATTTTGTCCACAAAAAGGCGCGCTGCCGCTAAGCGTATTGCATGCAACTGGTCCTCCAGACACGCAACATGTGTCCAATGACTCACAAAAAGTCATGATGATTTTTACCTTTCACTTTCAACAACCCCCATGAGATTAAATCATTGAAGACTAGTCACACAAAAAAGTACCCAATATTGTAAAAGCAGAAGAAAAATGTGCAAACTTATAAAAGCAAGTATTAATTTTCTTGCAACCTTCATTTCCTTCGTCTTAATTACGTATTACATGAACTTCACTCTATGTTGTTCATATCTCACGTCAACAATATCAAATCAAATAATCAAATTTACACACCTTCTCCTTTTTTATAATTTTCTTCAGTTCTACTATTTTCTTTTTCTTTTTTTTCCTTTTCCTACATTTGAAGTCCAGAATTGCCCTTTTATCCTCGAGCCTCAGTCACAATCTTTGTTAGTCCCACAATACAAGGAGGTCTCAACAAGGGTAATACTTGGAATACAACTCTCGGACCGGGGCATCATAGTACCCTCCATCTTGATATTTCCTCGTTTAGTTATCGGGCTATTCGGCATTGACCTTGGAGATTTGGGGCTCTCCAAGCTCTTTCTCAAAACTCGTCTCATGGCCCAAATCATGTGGACGGTGGGATCTTGTGGAGTGCCCAAGGCCCGGAACTTACCGCAAAAGTTGAGATGCCGGGCCATGGCTTCATCCGGGCTTATGAGCATTTGGCAACGCAAGATTTCGTCTTTCACGGCCTCACCACAAAGTCCGCAAAGCCATTTGCCTCCGTACCTAATGTAAGAACTTATAGATGATTAGACATAAAATTTGTAATTCGGTGTAAAGTTGTAGGAGTCTCGAATTAATAAGAGTTTGATTGTTTATGAAATAATTTGTTCAAAATGAGTTATTTTGGTTAATTATAGTTAATTTTGAAAAAGGTAGTGTAGTTAGTTGTTAGTGAAATTTTAAGAATGAATTAAAATAATATTTAAAATAAAATTATTAAAATTGATTTGATGTAAAAGTAAGAAATAAATTATTGAAAATGATAAATTGTTAAAATTATGTGAGTGCATGAATTAAAGTTGATGTGATGTGTAAGAATGATATTATTTAATTATATAAATAATATTAAAGATAGTAGGGTTGAGTTATAGTTGAGTTAAATTTTGAGTATGGAATAAAGTTGAGTAAATTATTTCATAAACAATCAAGCCCTAAATTTCTNAAAAAAATTCCAACGATAAACCAGCAACTTGTATAACCAACAAAGAAAGAGTCTGAGCAATCAAATGATTACAAACGAAGTTTTTTCTATAGAAGCAAGAACCAAGCAACTAGGGGAGTTTGCTAACTCCCCCTCAGTTCGATTCATTTACAGCTGTAGGAGTTCCAACTTCCAAATTAATAAACTTCTTCAATTTTTATAAAGAGTTCAATTCAATTCGTTTACAGCTCTAGAAACAATATGCAGTAAGAACCCAAATGGCGGAAGTAACATGTAAGTTCTAAAGATTTACAAAAAATGTTCTAAATCTAAAATAATGGTTCTGGTCTTATANACATCACACAAAAAAATAAAAATAAAAAATAAAAAAACTATAGAAATCAAAATTATTACCTTTCTCGAATGGTCTGGATGTAGGAAGGGGTGCATTCTTCAGTAAGCCCGCAGCAGTGGCACCTGGCAAATTCCACCTCGATTTGGCCCAAACTCTTGTTTTCAGGCCCATCGGGCCCTGGAGTTACCTCCATTAAATCAGTAACTATAGTAGCTATATTTCTTTTATCCTTTTCTTTTTTCTTCTTCCGCTGCTATCTTTCTTTTTCCCACTCGCCTTCTTCGACCTTTGATTCCTCTGGAGCAAAGAATGTGTCCATGAAAGACATCTCAAAAATTGCTTATTGATGAAAAATATTTTTTTTGCTTTATAGGGAATTGAATATGAATCATCAAAATATGAAAGAAATAAGGAAAATAATCGAGTTTTCTTGGCTTACAGAAAATTATTTCTTTTTTATTAATCTGGGGATTTAGGGAATAATAATTCGTACAAGAATGAGAGCTTTATATAGAACGAAGAAAGAAAAATAACAGAACAATCAACTATTGTTATTTTGACTTTGTCTAATTATTTTTTATTCGTTGGAGAGGAAAACTTTGGCCAATGATTATAATTTCCTGCCGCAAGTGCCAGCACAGCATTAACTGTGTTTTTGTGAGGAGCTGTCCATTTATTTGACGTATGCCATTTTTCTGTCCAATAAAAAAGCTGCCACTACAAGAGCCGACCTGTATAAATTTAAATAAAAAATATACATCTCTGGTCTGTGGAGAATATTCAATCAATTATTTAATAATCATTAATCATTCTAAGGGACTAATTAGTTAGGGAGGTTGGTATTTCATAATGTGTGTTCATATTTAATCACCCATTATAGAGCTATATCTTATCGTGCACGTTTTATTTTATTTTATTTAATTAGTACATTTTGTTTATAGTTTCATTATTTGGTCCAGTTCTAGAATTAACCGGGCAGCTTCGTTTGTAAGTAACTGAAATATGTATTTTTCTTTCGTCATTCCATTGATATTTATATTGCCAATAAACTGAAGAAGACGATATTTGAAAATTGATAATTTGAATTTGGGGTTTGTGAATAGATGATATTCTATGTGGTTTTCCGGATAAAAATCAATAAAAACTACATGTCGGCAGCCTGCTTTGGTAAAGGTTCCAATAGAACCCATTTTTCAACAGCAGTTTATAAAAAAGATGTAAAATTGTTATTTCATATTTGGCTGATGATTTCTATAGAAAATTAGCATGTGTAGAATTTATTATCCCAAACAAAATGCCCTCGCCCACCTTCCAGGTCAAACTAGTACTATGCAAAGTACAAACCAATCATCTCATTAGTGGTTCAATGGTTCATTAGTCGAATCACTGGTTGAACTGATTTTTATATATTTTTACAAAAATATTATAAGAATGTAAACATTATTATAATTTCTAAAATAATTAATAAAATCCCAGCCCAAATATTTAAATTAATAACACTCTAGCAGTTGAAATCACCATTGTATTAATTTTTATCAAAATGTTCCAAGAATTGAAATATTGTTATAAATTTTGAAAAAATAAATCAACACCAATCCCGAAATAGGATGTTGTTCTTCAGGTTCACCGTGGATGCTGAAATCAAATACAAGGTACAATGCGGTGGAGCAAGGAAGACAAGGACGACGATAAGACAGAGAGTGAGGCAATAGGCCCTCTTACGGCGGTCCTCGTGGCGGGTGAGCACCGCCAGCTTCTTGTTGTTCTCTGGTGGCGGAAAGCGAGGGATTTGCTCCCAGGGGAGCTGAACGATGTAGGTTGCATGCGGAGGGAATTGTTCACGAGGGGGGAGGGCTTCTTTTTCGAAAATTTAATAAGTCCTAAGGACTTGGTGACAAATTTTGAAATTTTAATATATCGGAAATTAGTTCATGAGTCAAATTTGTAATTCATCGATAATTTAATAAATGCACAATAATGTTAAGTAAAATGCACAACTTTGCATGTGTTGTGGATATGCCCATTAAAAATAGCGTCATGTTTTTACGAAGTTACAGAATTGTCACCGCCTACACATTTAAACTACACAAATTACCAAAATGTCATTGCGCTATAGAAATGCACTATAGTGCTAAATGAAATACACGTTCATGCCTGTGAAAATGTACAATAACGTAAAAGTGTATTTTTCGAAATTATAAAATTGCCCCAAATGAAAAATGCACATTAATGTCATTTGCACGCTCACTCCCTTTGTCCTCCGCCGCCCTGCACCTGCCACCCCTTATTCTGTTGTCCTGCACCCACTCACCGCTCTGCAAATCAGGGCGCGGCGGAGGACAAAGGGAGTGAGCGTGCAAATGAGACATTGTATCTGTGTTTTGTGTGTGTGTTTGTGTTTTAGAGAGAGAGAGAATGGGTGGGTGGGTGGTGTGTAGGATAATGTCCTAAATAGCCTTGTATTAAATGTAAAATTTTGACTTTTTATTTCCATTGAATATCAGATTTATAAAATTTTGACTTTTTATTTCCATTGAATATCAGATTTATTCCTTTCATTGAGAACCTTTTATCATAGTGTTCCAATGGGTGCTCTCCTCCGACAGCCGGTGTATAATAAAAGAAGGCTTTATGGGAGATGAATCCTAGAATTTTTCCCCATACAAAACATAGCTGGTGTATAATAAAAAGTCGAGTTCCTTCATTGCCTATAAAATTGACAAAAATATGTAAAGCAAAGCCGATATCCCAAAGAAAATGCTCTCCGACCGCCGGTGCTGGCTTGGTCAAAATGTACAACAGATAACAGTCAGTCCTATACATACATACAACTCTCTCACTGCCCAAAACAAAATACAAGTATCCAGAATCCACCCTACACTACTCCACTTTCCAAAATCAGTTCAAACACTGAATTC